CTATTGAAAGAGGGCGATATTTAAAAATACAAAAGCAGAGTAGGATATGTCTTTGCTGCAACAAGGAGCACACATATAATCAGTCAAAATTGTTCATTAAATGTCATGATTAAATCGATTTCATGACACCCTTAAACCGATTTCATGATATTCTTCAATCGAATTGTGGAGGTCATGAAATAGTTGTGGATCTCCATAAACATTAACGGATATCCTGAAATTGAATTGTAGAGGTCCTGAATTATTTGTTCATAAAATTTGATGCAACATGAAGTGTAGTCAGTCAGCTCTCTTAAAATGTTTCAAGAAGCTTTTTAGTACCTGTCAAAGCTCCGATATACATCTTACAAGCTGAACAGATGGTTATATAACACCATAACACAAAACAAACGATAATGTTCATGACATATCGTTCAATAAGCAAATTATTTCATTGTTTTTTTAAACATTGTTGAATTCTCGTCTTGATATTTATCATCAAAGATGAGTGTCAAATTGCGTTAAAAAGGGAAAGCAAGAATGTCTGCCAATTTGTTTGTTTAAAAACCAATTAATGATTGTAGGTAATGGTAGACAGTGTGCCTGGCTGCTTTGTTGATTTTCAGAAAGAAATTTCACTGTTTAGAAATAAGCGTTGGATATCTTGATTTTTATAAAAGTATGTAGAACCGAGCAAATCTGTAATCGACAATGTTGATATTAGTTTTTTTTTAAAAGTTTGTTAGTGCCAGCACACAACTCTAATGTTGAAAAGGAAAGATGTCAGTGTATTCCTTGACCCCAGAGAGCTTGTCCCAGTTGCTCCAGCTCAGGAGTTGAAGATAAATTACATTTTCTTTTAAATTGTCCTTCACTAAATAATGAGAAAATAACTATTACTGTGTGCTAGGGAATATTGTGCTAACTTTAATAAATTGATTAACAAAGATCAGTTTATTTTGTTAACGAAGAATGAAAATAAGTATATCTTGTTTGAAATAAGTGCTTTTAAAAAACAATAAAAAATATCCTCATAATTTATCCCATACCAGTAGTCTTTATTTTTCTATGATTTTTTCTCAGAGCATTTGAACAAGTTGTACTAGAGGCTGCAGCCATATCCTAATAAATTTTGCACTAAATTTTAACAATACACTTTAGACTGTCCTATGGACCTTCCATTGGTTACTTTTTCATTTGGATAACTGTTTACTATTATTGTCCATATGTGCATCATCTATGAGGAGAACTAGACTTGAATATTGGTGTATACAGTGTTAAGTGCTTCACTATTTGTATATATGTTTATTTGGTTGAGTGCCTCTTAAGCATCTGCCCTTAGTGACTCGAATTAGATAACTCACCTGTGTACGAATTGTTTGGTAGTGCATGAACCAATTATGTACAGGTTTTTTTTTATATTCAAATGGGTAATGTCTAAAAAGCTAGATGCCTTAAATAAAAAAAACTATAGACAATTAAGCTTTCTTCCAAATAATACCTACTGTGTTTGAAAAAAAAACCCTCTGGAAAACAGTTTTCTGCTCTAGGGTCGGGTTGTTGTCTCTTTGACACATTCCCCATTTCCATTCTCAATTTTATTAAAAGTCACATAAATGTTTATGCCCTTTATATCAAAAAGGACAAGGCTGTCAAACAGTGCTTGAAAAGCATATTGAGGACAGGATAAAGGCATTGAATCAAAATAAGTACGTGACAGCCATTTAAATGAGCATATGACGAGCATTTAAATGAGTGCGTGACAGCCATTTAAATGAGTATGTAACGAGCATTTAAATGAGTACGTGACAGCCATTTAAATGAGTATGTGACAGCCATTTAAATGAGTACCGGTATGTGACAGCCATTTAAATGAGTATGTGACGGCCATTTAAATGAGTATGTGACAACCATTTAAATGAGTCAACAGCCTTTAAATATCTTCCTCATTGATTTTTATTAGCTAAATCATTTGCTTCATTGTGAGTACCTCAACTGTTTCTCTTAACTGACTATTAATCTAGCTGTAGACAGTTTATAAAAATTGGCTTTGTACTTAGTAATTGGGAGAACATTAGAAAGAGGTTACCCTAGGATCTGGTTATAAAAAAGTGTTCACTTTGATTTTGAAAACATTGCATTTTCTTTTATGATTATGCTAACAATATCTTGTTCTTTACATATCAGATCCAAATTATGACAACCTTTGAACAGGAATGTGCAGGGGCGGATCCAGCCATTTATAAAAGGGGGTTCCTAACCCAGGATAAAGGGGGGGGGGGGGGGGGGGGGGGGGGTTCCAACTATATGTTCCCATTCAAATGCATTGATCGTCAAAAACAAAGGGCCGGGTTCCAAACCCCGGACCCCCCCCCCCTTTATCCTGGGTTAGGAACCCAGTATAATCAAGGTACAAATTTGATATCTTATTAGAATGGGAATACCTGCAACATGCATTTATTGCTGTGTGTTTCTTTATTCTACATTGACTAGAGGTATAGTGGGAGGGTTGAGATTTCACAAAACATGTTTAACCCCGCCGCATTTTTGCGCCTGTCACAAGTCAGGAGCCTCTGGCCTTAGTTAGTCGTGTATGTTTTTTAATTCTAGTTCATTTATATGTTTTGGAGTTTAGTATGACGTCCATTTTCACTGAACTATTTTATTTAGGGGCCATCTGAGGACCACCTGCGGGTGCGGGATTTTCTCGCTGCGTTGAAGACCCATTGGTGGCTTTCGGCTGTTATCTGCTCTTTGGCCGGGTTGTTGTATCTTTGACATATTCCCCATTTCCATTCTCAATTTTATTCTGTCAGCAGCATCCATATCACATATTACTTACAAATGATGACGACGAGGTTTTTTTTAACAACCTTCACTACCCATGAGGGTCTAAGTTCACGGTCGTATACAAATGAGCATTCCTTTTAAAGCTTGCTATGTGGTATGGGTTTTGCTCATTGTTGAAGACCATACAGTGATCTTTAGTTGTTTAAAACTTCTACATTATTTGGTCTCTGGTGGAACATTTTCTCATCAGCAATCATATCACATCTTATTTTTATGTTCAATTTTCAAATATAATGGACAATAACCATAATTAATGACAAAGCTATGTCAGACTTATCAATGTATAGTCAGCATCATTAATGACGAAGCTATGTCAGATTTATCAATATTTAGTCAGCATCATTAATGACCAAGCGATGTCAGATTTATCAATGTATAGTCAGCATCATTAATGACCAAGCTATGTCAGATTTATCAATGTATAGTCAGCATCATTCATGGCCAAGCTATGTCAGATTTATCAATGTATAGTCAGCATCATTAATGACAAAGCTATGTCAGATTTATCATTGCATAGTCAGCATCATTAACGACGAAGCTATGTCAGATTTGTCATTGTATAGTCAGCATCGTTAACGACGAAGCTATGTCAGATTTATCAATGTATAGTCAGGATCATTAATGGCGAAGCTATGTCAGATTTATCATTGTATAGTCAGCATCGTTAATGACGAAGCTATGTCAGATTTATCAATGTATAGTCAGCATCGTTAATGACGAAGCTATGTCAGATTTATCAATGTTTAGTCAGCATCATTAATGACGAAGCTATGTCAGATTTATCAATGTATAGTCAGCATCATTAATGACCAAGCTATGTCAGATTTATCAATGTATAGTCAGCATCATTAACGACGAAGCTGTGTCAGATTTATCAATGTATAGTCAGCATCATTAATGATGAAGCTACTGTGTCAGATTTATCAATGTATAGTCAGCATCATTAATGACCAAGCTATGTCAGATTTATCATTGTATAAGTCAGCATCATTAATGACCAAGCTATGTCAGATTTATCAGTGTATAGTCAGCATCATTAATGACCAAGCTATGTCAGATATATCAATGTATAGTCAGCATCATTAATGACCAAGCTATGTCAGATTTATCAATGTATAGTCAGCATCATTAATGACCAAGCTATGTCAGATTTATCATTGTATAGTCAGTATCATTAATGACCAAGCTATGTCAGATTTATCAATGTATAGTCAGCATCATAAATGACCAAGCTATGTCAGATTTATCAATGTATAGTCAGCATCACTAATGACCAAGCTATGTCAGATTTATCAATGTATAGTCAGCATCATTAATGACCAAGCTATGTCAGATTTATCAATGTATAGTCAGCATCATTAATGACCAAGCTATGTCAGATTTATCAGTGTATAGTCAGCATCATTAATGACCAAGCTATGTCAGATTTATCATTGTTTAGTCAGCATCATTCAAGCTATGTCAGATTTATCAGTGTATAGTCAGCATCATTAATGACCAAGCTATGTCAGATTTATCATTGTATAGTCAGCATCATTCAAGCTATGTCAGATTTATCAATGTATAGTCAGCATCATTAATGACCAAGCTATGTCAGATTTATCAATGTATAGTCAGCATCATTAATGACCAAGCTATGTCAGATTTATCAGTGTATAGTCAGCATCATTAATGACCAAGCTATGTCAGATTTATCATTGTATAGTCAGCATCATTAATGACCAAGCTATGTCAGATTTATCAATGTATAGTCAGCATCATTAATGACCAAGCTATGTCAGATTTATCATTGTATAGTCAATATGTCAGATTTATCAATGTATAGTCAGCATCATTAATGACGAAGCTATGTCAGATTTATCAATGTATAGTCAGCATCATTAATGACCAAGCTTTGTCAGATTTATCAATGTATAGTCAGCATCATTAATGACCAAGCTATGTCAGATTTATCATTGTATAGTCAATATGCCAGATTTATCAATGTATAGTCAGCATCATTAATGACCAAGCTATGTCAGATTTATCAATGTATAGTAAGCATCATTAATGACCAAGCTATGTCAGATTTATCAATGTATAGTCAGCATCATTAATGACCAAGCTATGTCAGATTTATCAATGTTTAAGTCAGCATTCTCTTCTACTTGATACTGAAATAAATTAATCCCAATAATAAACTGATTTATAATTAAAAGTTTTCATGACAAATTCATTCAGATAAAAAACATAGGTACATACTTCTTAAGTAGATTCACACTATAATGCTGTGGAATGTGGATTACAAATCCTGAAACACATTAAACAAATAATATCAAGAAAAAGAAATGAGCAAAAACAATAAGTCAAAACAATAGAAAAACAATTACTATATGAGAACACTAACAGCAATAATCAGTCTCACATCTATGTTTCAGTCCTTATATAAATATATGTGTGTGGGGTTTCCTTTTAAGGCAATGTCTAGTTCATATCAAATTATTCAATTTATAAAAATACTTTAAGGCAATAGCTAATATGTGAACAATGCTTTCAAAGTCCATCTTGTATAATCAAAAATATAATTTATAATAATCCATGTCAACATGTATAACATATTGAAAATCACAGTAAACAAATTAAAAATAAATAGTTTAAAGTAGAGAATCAGCAAAAGCTCACTAATATCTAATCAAAAATTTCAAGAAGGAGGTATTTGTCTACCCTGACTCACTCCAATACTAAATGTTCTATGAATTATCAAAAATATATTAAATAATATCCGATTATTGAATCCATCATGTAAGGGAATGGATTTGTATAAGCTTTGTCTTTGTCCAATCTCATTGTTAAAATGTATGTTCGATATTTGAACAACAAAATACTTTGAATTGAAAAAAAAAATCTATAGAAAACAGCATGTGTTATAACACCTGTAACATGACTGATATAAGAAGAATTGTTTTACCGTTATGGTGCCAAAGTTACTGTAACAAAGACATTAATTAGTCTTTTTAAAACTTATAATTCCAATACTTTGAAAAATCTTGCTATAACATATTGAAAATCGCAGTAAACAAATTAAAAATAAATTATTTAAAGAAAAAAATACGCAAAAGCTCACTAATATCTACTTATCATATATAAAAAATTTCAAGGAGTTATCGGCGACACCTGACTCACTACAAGAATAAATGTTCTATGAATTATCAAAAATATAGTAGATAATATCAGATTATTCAATCCATCGTGAAAGGGAATGGATTTGAATAAGCTTTGTCTCTGTCCAATCCCTTTGTTAAATTGTACATTTGATTTTTGAACAACAAAATGCTTTTAATTGAAAAAAAATCATTAGAAAACAACATGTGTTATAACATGACTGATATAAGAAGAATTTGTTTACCATTATAGTGCCAAAGTAACTGTTACAAAGACACATTAATTAGTCTTTTTAAAACTAATAATTTAAATACTTTGAAAAATCTTGCAACACTTTTGAAAAAAGCTAAATGCTGTAGAGAGGAAGTTTTGTCACTGTGACTTTATGAAAAATATATAATCTATATAAAAAATTAATTTATTACAAATACTGGTCTATTACAAACATTTTACAAACTAATTAGATATATATATATATATGTATAATATGGGTGTGTTTTATTGTTTAATATATGTTACTATTAAAGTGTAGTTGAAATTATAAATTGTGAATTTATAAATGTATCGTGGGCTGGAGGCCTGTTTTTGTACAATAAACTTGATTTGGTTCGATTTGGTTTGATTTAACATGACAACATGATTATCACTTGAAAATTATAACATGTTTACCTCCACAAATTACATCTTTGAGCTCTGTTTTCAAAGTCAACTTTCTAAACAGCTGAGTGCCACAATGAAAATTCAACCAATTCCGTTATCATCCACATTATTCATGTGTTATCTTTATTTTATCATCCTTATTATGCATGTGATATTTTGACTATGCATGTGATATTTTGACTATGCATGTGATATTTGCAGCTGGATGTTAAGCAAAGGTAACTCAATCAAGAAGTTTTCAATCAATTTCCATTTTCTCCATCATTTTCAGCTAGTTTGACTATTTGCCTTGAATTTGAATGTTATGTCTAAGTTCTTTATTTATGAATTCTTCACAGAAAACATTCATTGAAACATTATATAATAAAACAGTATACAAGTTAAAATTTTTGTTTTATATTCTACCTCATAACCATGAAAATCAAATGCATCCTAAAAAAAAAATTTAGCATTAAGAAAGGGAGGTAATTTTAATTTTCACTGACTAGAGGTCAAGTTCACGTAAAGTATAGGTTGAACTCCAATTGACTAAAGAAAATTCAAAAATTCCATTTTGGAGCTGTTCTAATAAAGTTGAAGTCATATTTCTCAGGTAAACCAACATGAGACTGTTTATAGACATCTGACCAGACAAACACAGGTAAATCTGTTCCTCGAGTTGGTCCATTAATGATATCTGCTGTGAAATTCTTTGCCATGGCAAGGTTTGAAACCTACAATATACAGAGAAAAATGAATTAAACTTGTTATATGGTAAGTAACTCATTAAAAAAAAATATTTTCCATGTTTCATTTGAAAAAAATATTTGTGATCAAGGAGGAGATGATAGATATCTCTTATACTGCTTCTTTTGGAATTAAAGACCAAACCAATTATGAATACATAGAGATGTGGGTATGCATCAAATTCAGACAAAGACATAAGAAATCCACAGGCCAAAGTATGGCCATTTTAACAATCCAGAGCAAGCTCTAAATAGCTTCAATTTATGTAGGTTTTATGGACAACCACAGGCATCAGTAAAATAGTATTTAATAAGACTGTATCAATGACTTCAATGATTTGTGCTTAATGTTGAGTGTCAAATATTGAATGTATATTCAGGATGATTATATGATCATGTAAAACCAATACAGACTGCATTAATAGACCAACACAGGCTAAAAGGAGTTTTTAACATTCTGGCTTAAATGGCTACATGAAATATCTTCAGATAATTAGTTCATATATAAAGACTTGATTATATATATGTTATATTAGATTAATATAAGAGTCAATCTTTAGAGCCTAATTTTCATTCAAACTTATACATGTGTTGGTAAAACAATTTTACTTGCAACATTCAAGTCAATTTTATGAAAATTTTTCAAACAATACTGAAGGTTGTTGAAATTGAAACTCAGATATGTTTGCAAAACCACCTAAAACAATCTGTTTCATCTCAATAATATCAATTTAAAAACACTACATACATTCAAATAGCTCTAGATTCAATCATCATTGATTTAATCTCAATTTAGCAAAATAGTAAATTTCATTTTAATCAGATCTTAAATGAACAGGAACAACAACTGTATTAGATTGGATGTGAAATCAAAAGAACTCTATACTGCTTAAATAAATCCTTGACTGAAGATAAAAATGTGTAATTTCTGGTAATATTACCTTTGTATCATAACAACCATCTGGACGAGGATTCTCTTTCTTTAGATCACCACGGCAACAGATTGCATTACAGGAATCTCCTTCTGAGTAAGGATCATTCTTGTAATCTGTAAACATATTTTTTTTATAATTGTAATAGAATTTCTAAATTTAAAAACTCTGTAACAATAATGATTTTTAATTGCTGTTTATTTGATTTTTTTCATTATAAATTATATTCTATGCGACTGTCATACAAGTGAGAGGTTTATCTAGCTATAAAACCAGGTTTAATCCACCATTTTCTACATAAGGAAATGCCTGTACCAAGTCAGGAATATGACAGTTGTTTTCCATTCATTTGAGGTGTTTGAGCTTTTGATTTTGCCATTTGATTAGGGACTTTCCATTTTTAATTTTCTTTGGAGTTCAGTATTTTTGTTACCGGTATTTTACTTTTTTTTTTTTATACATATGCTTTATAATTAAATCACTAATTGTATTTATTCGTTCTTCTCATTGAATACAATTTATCACAAATATATTCTCAGTTTATGGTAGACCTATTGCAATTCTATAATAATTCTATAAAAGTAAAAATCTTGTGAAACTGTATAAACATCTGTCTGTTGTTTATTTTTGCCATTGGTTTGCTGTTTTTGGGTTGGTTTTTTTTACATATAAACCTAATATTTCCTTTTATTCAATTAGTAAATTATTTTTTTATGTTTTTTACACATTTAAATGAAAAAAGTAAAATTGGCAATACCATTGTATCTCATTATTTTCTTCATTGACATCAGATCAACAACCTTTCCTTCATCTCGACGGAAGATCTTGGCTCTTGGAGCAAGTTGATATGAGAACTCTGTTCCATGCTGGGCCACATAGGCAGGATACCCGCTCATATTGTATATTTCTTCGAAGAATGGCACATTGTAGGATGGCCAGTAACCTAAACAGATATGGAAAAAATGTATATACTCTTTTTTTTCAACATTATTTGTAGAGTATCAATTTAAGTACTTCTTATTACATTACTCATTTTATTTATTGTTATTCACCGCTGATGATTTATTGTCATTCAACGCTGATGATACAATCATTCAATTTTGTTTGTAATTATAACATGTGTATATATCTCTTAATTACTGATGCTATTACATATACATTTGTAACATGAATTCTATACGCCATATTTCTTTTAAATAAAAGTCTATTTATTATATTACATTGGAGTTCGGATAAAGAATAATTCTAGTAATTAACAAAATACAGATTTTCTACAGGTTTGTATGCAGAATTTGTAAGTACCATGAAATCAAGTAGCCACGAAAGTTAATTGTTTTGTCGATCCACAGAAATTGGTAACCACCAAGAAATAAAAGAATCCACAATATATTGAATTTAACTTCAGATATCAAAAACTTGTGAGGGGAAAAAGTTTTCTTTTCAACAAAACTTTGATAGTTATTATAAGATGCTGTATACTAAGACATCAAAATTAAATGTCCAAAGATAAAAACAAATATTCTGTGATTAATATTAAGCATCTTATTTGACTAGAAGATTGCACCATATAATTATTCTCCAAGTTACACAGAATTTTATTGTATGAAAAGAGGAACTTAATAGCAAAAACAGTAAAAATCATTCAGAAATTAACTGAAAATTAATTATTCAGAAAAAAAAAACCTTAAAAAACACTAAAATCTGGATGACCAATTTTGTTTGAATGGCACTTCAAAGAAAGTTGTTTATTCTAAACAATCATCTCCCAATGTCACATCTCTCTACATAAATCTAATAAGATCATGTTACCTGTTCGTAGAATACTAGTAGTATCAGCTGATTTGACAAGGGAAGGAATCTGCTCGACAACCCAGAGGGCATCATCATCGATAGATTTACCGAGTGATATTTTCTTCATATCAAGTATCATGTACTGGTTGTTATAAGTACCTATACAAAAAAATAAATAATGCATTCAGATTTTAAGATTTTTAGATTTTTCATGATGATTTCTATAAAAAAAAACCTGATTATGCCTGAAAATGTAGCTTATGTGAAATGTCATTACTTAGTGTTCTAAAACATTTACCCTATATGTATATCTACATATCTGAAAATTGGTAAAACCATAAATTAAGAGATTTTTCATGTTCATAAAATTTCAATCGTCAATGTTCACAATACCCTCCAACTCACCAGAATTGTACAAAGAGAAGACATCTGCCCATTGTTTACCAGAGGATGCCATCATATTAGCCACTCTGACTCGTTGCCATGCCAACAAAGATTGTGGTTGTACAAGTTTATACAGAGTTTGGTTGAAGACATTATTGGTTGTCTGTAACATGACCATATTACTGCTCATTAAGTAAAAATCATCTAATGACTCCAGGAAACCTGAAAATAAAAACCAGAGTATTTGACTTATATGCCACAAAATCAGTAGTAGATTACAATGTACCCTCATTTTGACTGTAACTCTTTAATATATGCTCTGATGGTTAGATTATCCAGATAGATCTGAAACATTCACGATTGGTCAAATTTATGGATAAGTGTCAATGATATATTTTAAATTTATCTGAGAGTTTAAAAAGATTGAGTACTATACATAAATTTAATCAAAGATTGTAATTTGTGAAAACTGTAACAGGACTATAGGCCCTTTGTAGCAGAGTTTTTTTTACCTAACATCACTGAAGAGACATTAATTGTCGAAATTCGGATATGGTGTACAAATTTTTGCACCTCATGTTTGCTGTATACCATCTTTTCCGCAAGTTTATTGTTTTGTGTTTGGTAATAAATTAATAATAAGATCTATTTTGTTACATCTTGTGATCCGTTTATTTGGCAATTGCCAATGGCAGTCAGCAGGGTTTAAGAACATCAGTTGTTCGACCTACTAGTCAAATGTGTTTTGTTAAAATATACTTTTTCACTCATTTGGTCTTTTGGAAAATGTTGTTTGTGCTGTTTTTAGACCCCTCTACCAAGAAATTTGTTTTGCATGCACACATATAAAAATTGCAGTTTTTATCCAACACAATCATAGGTTTGAACGTTGTTTTCAATTTAGACTCGCCTATATGAAGGTATATACATGTATAGGTAAAACAAATATGAGACAAGCTAGGGCCTGTGGATCGACACTTGATGAATATTGAGATTATTGTAATCTTTGCTAGCAATAATTTACTACAAAAGTAACCATTTCACATTAATTAATCTAGCATTTATATTGGCAGAGAATTGTACATTTGTAATTTAAAAAATGTGGATAAATATTTTCTCTTGCTCCCTCCCAATATCAAATAAGCTTGCTTGCTCCCTTCCAATATTAAATCAGATTGATTGCTATTAACAATAAGATAACATTAGGCCTACACAGATTGCAGTTAGGTTACCGTAATCATCCTTGTATAAGTTTTATGGAATGAAACAGATCTAAGATCTATATAATAATGTGTTTGAACCTAATCACTATGCCTTTTTCTTGAGCTTAAGATTTTACCTGGATAACTTAAGATTTTACCTGGATAACTTGAAAATGAAATCTTTTTAGCTGATGAAGCTGAATCTTTTACATTAAAGTTGTAATGTTTAAATATTCTCATTGTAGCCTGGTACTCAAACCAACTGGAATGTGACATAAAAATATCTTCGTAGGCTCCTAAAACCTGAAATTAAGTTATTTTAGAATTATTCTCATTGTAACTTAGCTGGTACATATATAAAACCAACTCAAAGTAGGTCTAAGAGTGAAGACTGATTCAATATTGGGTGATGATAAGAACCATAAGTTTTTGTCGGTACCAACTATATAAAGAAAGTCTTTATATCTAAAAATGTGATCAAATAAAAATTAACTAAGTAATCTTATAATGATAACTTTTTTGTAATGAAATCTTGTGTAATCACATGATTATATTGTTTTTTTTCAAAGGCATCTTTATAGAGTTTTTAATGAATTAAATATATTATTTCTTCACACACATTTTGTTCAAAATTTGAAAATATCTTAAAGGAATATTTTTTCAGGGGTTTAAATAAGTGTGAGTTCGAGGTCTGTGACCTGTTTTTTCAGCTGGTAGGGCGGGCACCTTTGATTTTTGAATTGCAAAAGTCAAGGACCTCCCATCTTTTACATTGATGCTTTTTACAGGACTAATGAATTTTTAACAAGGGTTTTTCACTTGAAAATTCAAGTGGTCCAAGCCCTTTTCATTATTAAAGGCACATTAATTTGAACATCTGATTTTCGTCAACATTTAAGACTGAGTAAATACTCTTACAAAGGCTTTGATTCAATAGTATACCTTAATTAGGGCTGAACACATGCCTGTTCGTTGAACATATACCCTAGCTTCAGCTGGAGTAAAAGCTCTCCAGTTTGGTATAGAGGCAGGGTTTAATGCCTTCACTAAATCTATTAAATCTCCTGCTCCATTCAACACTTGGAATGCAAATATTTCTAAATCCTAAAACAGAATAAACTAATAATCATAAAAATACAAATATCTTATTGTTTTCTTGTTTTTTTCAGTCTGTTATTTTTATTTCCAAGTTTTTGAGACGGAGTGATTCATGGCTTGCTATATTGTATTTACACTTGTATAACCCACATTTCTTTTTATTCATATATAGGGGTGCGTAACTTAAAAATATATGTTTCATAATGGATGCAAGTTGTTAAATAGAAGCCATGCTTACTAATTGTTTATCACATTAGCAATCAGCAGGTCCACATTGTCAATGTTTTCCATGATGTCACATTGGCCAAATCAAAATAATACAATGAACTTTACACAATAAAAACAAAATCTATTTTATTTCACTAAATAGAAAAAAGAGGAAAGGCTAGAAACATCACATGTCAAATAGAAATTCACAACGACTTAAAAAGGTTTTAATCAGAATTTTTTTAGGGAAATGAGACATCACTAAAAATAAATATGTTACCTGTTCAGCAGTAGCTTTATATCCATCAACCAATCCATCATACTGTGCTATCACCATGGCAACATGTCTCCATAATGGATCTTTTGGTGTATTGCTCTCTATTTGCTTTCTCATCCATTTATCTTGAGTTTTGAGAAATTCTTTGAGATCTGTGACAACTTTTGTAGATATACCAGTCAGGAAAATATCCTTAATGTTTAGGTAATGTTGGTAGATTCGCCTAAAAAAGAACAACAAATATTTACAACACTTTTATTGCTGCAGGGGTCGTATTAAGGGCAAACAGTTTTACCTAAAATTTATAAAAATGTATATGTTGAATATTGAATAATATTATGAAACGCCCTGATCTTTATAGATAACTAAAAACATAATGTAATCATACTATTACATGGTACAGCTGACCTGTCCAAGATAAACTTACGGAGCTGTGAGTACTCCCTCCATATAACCAGCAGCATACATTATGTCTATATCATCAGCTGGTTTTCCATTGCCTGAAATAATATCTAGGATCCCCCATCCTGTCTCCATCAATGTATCATTGTATACTGCCACAGCTGTTGAGTGAGTGTAATCCAGTACACCTTTCTTATAAGTACACTTTTTGGCTGAACAATACACACTTCCATAATTGTACTCTCCTGAAAGTAAAATATAACATTAAGAAAATCAATAATTGCGCATCAATGCTAACATGGCTAAATAATTGGTCTTTAAGTTTGCATTTTATCGAATATTGAAAGGCTGATGAAAAACAATCAGTCACAAGATGTGAAAGGAGATGTGGGAACATACAGCAACCTTCAACCCTGTCATACAAAAAAAAAACCTTTAAAGACCATGCAGATCAATACAAAAGTTGATATTTTTCTGACATTGACCTAATATTGATTTTATACTGCAGCTAAATACTGCAACAATTAAATTTCTAAAAATATGAAAAATCATAACACAAAAATAAAACATTATTTTCTGTATTTTAAAGTCATATGAAACTTATCAAATTTAAAAAAAAGTTGAATATGTTTTATACACTTAAATGGCTAAGTTTTAGAATATAACTAGTGTACATGAACTTTTTTAAAAAGAAAATTCTTTATTATATAAAAATCTTCATAAATGTACTGCTATTGAATAATTGTCTTCCTGAACACTAAGTGGCAGATTTTTTCCCATATGCAGAGTGACCATATCTAAGAGAACACTCTTTAGAACTTGAGCCACCGCACAGTGCAAGTGCGAGGGGAAAACTGTGATGAATAAATGTAAACAAATGTGGACTGGAAGGTAAATTAACAACTGACTCTTCAAGAAAAAATATAATACAGCAAATAATTTAACAACTGTTAAGGAAAAGTTTCAATAACAAATGGGAACACATGGAAAACACAAAAAAAATATCATGGCTCTATCAATTCACTTATTTGTCATGTGCTCCACATGATCTGTGTTGTTTGTTTATCAATGTCATGATCCGGTAAACTTTGGCAACAAACTTGAAAGTTAATTAGCTTGGGATCAACAATCACTGAATGAAATATTATTTGTCAATAATAGATTATAGATTTGTAATAAATATAAAAAACGTGCAAACAGGACTTAGGTTAGTCAGAGACATATATACACATGTGTCTCTGGTTTTAGTATATATGCATACATTGGTTCAATAATTTGGAAATTTTAATTTACATAACATAAAATTTCAAGAAACTCGTTTCATATGACTTTAACAACCACATATCAAATTAGTAAGAAAAATGACATGACATGAAATTAACATAGCATGAATTATGACTTTGTTACTACATGACTTAATTAGTATCAAAGATGAAGAATCATTCACCAAAGGGCATTAACAAATTCTAAACATAATAAATACATGATCTTATTACCACAAGAGACACTGTAGCAAAATACCACAACAAGAACAAATGTTAATGTAATATCCATCCTGTAATACTGTATGCAGCAAAATGAAAGTACTTTATAATGTCATGATCACATGATAGTCATGTGTTTTTTACTGAGGTACAGGAAAGATTTTATTTTCTGGATTTGTAAAAACTGAATTACAGCAAACAAGTCTTACGTATATTTTTTTATTGTCAATATTACATAAAGATATAATTCAACAGAACATGTATACAATTGTGTATATATTACAATATTACAAGTGCTATATTGCATCAAGAATCCGAATCCGGAAAAATAACTTTTCCGTCCGTGTTAGATACTAATTTTATCTATCCATTTGCTTTGTCCTTCCCGCGAAACATCTGCAACAATGCGTCAAAATAGACCCAAGAAAAGACAAAAAGACAAACAGAAACATGAAGATAATCAAACAGATGCATCTCAGGCAGACAGAGAGATGTTTCTACAAGCCTTTGAAAGTAAATAATATTGTTTAACGTTATTGTTTTGTTGTAAAATTGATGATTTTTTTTTGTCTCGTGCAGGTATCTGTCTCTGTCACTCTTTGTTTCCTGTTTATTTTGATATTTATGTATATGGATACTTATTTCATGATATCATCCAAAACGATTTGCTCGGTTCATGCTTTATTTAACCGCATTGGTAAATCCACAGTTTTATTGCTCTATTGGCTATTGTCCTTTACAAATTATCTCCCTTTGAATGTTACTGGCCTCAGACCACAATTATTCTTCCCATTGGTTACAATGCATTTTTTGGTAAAAGTCTTATTGAATTAAAAAAATTGCACCGCTTCAAACATGAAATAAATTTACCTGCTTATAGACCATTATTATTTGAATAAAATATGCTTGTCCCAGGACAATCCATCAGTGCTTTTTCTTTTGAGAGCCATATTAACATGCCAATGGTTAACTCGAATAATTCAGTCCCTCCCCGTAATCGATCTCTCCTACTTGCGAGGGCCTGAATTCCTTACACGATAAAAACTCTTCACGAATCCTGGATTTTGATTGGTGCCCTGTAGAAGCGGTGACCAATCAGCAATCAGATTAATTTTATCGAGATAGGTAAATCCCGAGCTAATTCCGAATGATTGATTGAAGATTTTTCATTGTCAATGCATTCAGGCGTTAATGGAGTAATCATAGATCAGCGGAATATAACGACTGAATTATTCGGGTTAGCCAATGGTAGGATTTGAATATTGAACAAATGACGAAGGCTAATTTCTACCCTACTTTCATTTTGGCCGAATCACTACTTTCACTTTCAACAATAAATTTTTTCCACATGTTTTACTTATTTCAATATATATGCAACTGATAGGACCACTTAAATAGTAAACATTTCAAAGAAAACAGTAGTCAGAATACTTAGGAAGAAATACCCCATATAATAATTGGGAACTATATTCCTAGACCACGAACAAAGGGAATTAATTGTGGTCTGAAGCCTACTTTAATAGTTAAATTCAATTTCTACATTTTAACAGAGACCCTATCGCTACTGACATCATACAACAATCACTTTTCCTTTGTGGTGACAGATATTTCCTATTGTGATGTCAAAATTTTACCTTTGTGGTGTCCAGCAGTCGCGAACAAATACAAAAAAAATGTAGCAATTAGATGTATAGAATTTTGGTCATAAAGAAACACAGCTGAATATTTGCATGTACAATATTTAATCTTTTATCATGATTTTTGTGGATATTCAATCGGGTGCATAGTGTTTCCTACAGAATATATTGGCCCCCCGTCGTTTTTTTCATGACGCCCTGCCCTTTACCAGCATATTTTATAACGCCTGGGCTTAATTTCAGATCGATTCTGTGATTCATCTTTTAATATGCTCATTTCGAGTTATTTCCCTTTGGACAAAATCAATATTTTATGAATTTTGTAATTATGTTTGAACATTTTGGAAGCAACTGAGTACAAATACGATTCATGATTGAATATTATAATTTTATGACACATAGGATGAACATTACATAAACAATCAGCTGTTTGATTATATTTTCATATTAAGTATGACTTCTTGAACTATTCAGTTGGATTGGGTGTGAATTTACGACTGCTTTCTTACTTTTGTTATCTAAATCATAAATAAAATCAAAATTGATAATAGCTGATATTGATTAGTACCAAAAATCCACTCTGTTTGAATAATAAACAAGAAAGTGTCCATAGTACACAGATGCCCCACTCGCACTATCATTTTCTATGTTCAGTGGACGGTAAAATTGGAGTTAAAACTCTAATTTGGCATTAAAATTAGAAAGATCATATCATAGGGAACATGTGTACTAAGTTTCAAGTTGATTGGACTTCATGGACTTCAACTTCATCAAAAACTACCTTGACCAAAAACTTTAACCTGCCCACTCGCACAATCATTTTCTATGTTCAGTGGACCATGAAAGGGTCAAAACTCTTAATTTGCCATTTAGATTAGAAAAATATTTTTCCTATCCTCCAAGACTATACACAATGGGAAAAAAGGTTGCTTCAAAATAAAAAAAGAAATACCAAAAAAAAAAAAAAAGAAAAATTCATTTCTCTTTAAATAATTCATCAGTTAGGACATGTAGGAGAGCACCATTTAACTTGAAATTCCAAATGTTTTTTTTTTCCTCAATAGAATAGAAAACATACACCGATATAAGCGATGAGATAAAACGTGCAAATGATTCTTGTGAAAGTTTAAGAATTCTGATGAAAATCTGTTAAAAAGAGTGAATGAAAAGGCGCTTTCTTCAATCTTTCAGTAAAAAAATCAATTTGATGAATGGTTTTGTCCTGTCACATTGCAACGCAAAGATTTAACCCGGTAAAATTAATTAGTGTACACATTATTTTGAGATCACCCGTATAGCTTAGAATTATAGTCGTACTCGGACTCAGAGTTGGACAGTAATTGTAAATCTCTAATAGTAAAGCACATGTATGCCAAAAATTAGGTAGACACTTCTTACTGTTTTTAGCAATGAACAAAAATGTTGAAAAGTCTTTTTTGTTACTTTTAACTAATGTTTTACTCTAAAATATTAGTTGAACTATTTATATAAAACAAAACAAAATTTGCCAGCCCTGGTATGATTGACAACATTTATTGTGGTAAAGGGAGATAATAAAAAAATAAGAAGATGTGGTATGATGGCCAATGAAACAACTCTCCACCAGAGACCAAATGACATAGAAGTTTACAACTATAGGTCACCCTACGGCCTTCAACAATGAGGAAAACCCATACCTCATAGTCAGCTGTAAACATGATATAAGACCCTGAAATGAAAAATGTAAAACAATTCAAATGAGAAAACTAACTACATGTAAGTTTGTTTTGCAGAAAAGATAAGTGCATTTAATGTGATTTTATTCATGTTAAAGGTTAAAGTTTAGAATGATTTTTTTCAGAGCCAACACAGATATACAGATACTTGAGGAACAGACATTTAGTTGCTGTAAGTAAAACATGTATTCATGAAAATGGATATTATAGCAAAACATTGTGTCTCTGTGGATTTGATTCATTTATATGTTTTGGAGTTTAGTATGACGTCCATTATCACTGAACTATAACACATTTCTGTTTAGGGGCCAGCTGAAGCACGCCTCCGGGTGCGGGATTTTAACGCTGTGTTGAAGACCCATTGGTGGCCTTCGACTATTTTCTGCTCTTTGGTCGGGTTGTTTTCTCTTTGACACACTCCCCATTTCAATTCTCAATTTTATGTCTTGGTTATCTTAGAAAATAGTGGAGCAGATGCAGATATTAAGATAAGGGGGGGGGGGGGGGGGGTAGACAATAAGACTTAAGAGAGAAGGTCAGTTTTCTCTTTGGTATTATTTTGAACTATGAAATTGATATCTGTATCTGTGAGAGTCATTTTCCAAGAGGATTTGATTTATTTATAAGTAGTCTAGCCAAACATTAAATTTTGATTTTTTTTTGAATTTGAAATATGTTGTCTATCAATGTTTCTGGATTTTTTCAGTCTAAATCTGTTAAGATTGTTATAAATACTGAAATTTTTTAAAATGACACCAATACAAATTATTACAGCAGTAACAATTTTTTTTATTTACCTCGAGTGTGGGAGGTCGTGGGTTCAAACCGAAGACTTTAGAATTTTTATTTGCTGCTTTGTCGCTAAGCACATGGCATTAAGGAGTAAGACCAAAGACTGGTCGGCTCAGAGTCAGAATAATGTGTCCGTTTAAGGTGACATGTCTTCCTGCGGACTGTTACCATGTGAACTTTCACAATAAAAATCCGGCTCAGCATGTAGGTCAAAGCAGAGTTGATATTCATATTACATTAAAATGTTCTCGTCCTGAATATGCCTATCAATTTGCTGCTGGACATTAAGCAGCCATCCATCCATCATCACAATTTTTTCATCTTGAAGAATTGTCTTAGATTTTAAGTATCAAATGTATGATCAATTATAGTTTGGTAAAAAGATAAGAGTTGTAAGCATGATAATGGAGATAATTTAATCTCAAACAAGATTAGAGTAGAACTGACAGAAATTTTTACCTGTTCTTATATATATATATGATTTTCAACAATTTATGAATATTTAAGGCTTTGATTCTACAGATTGACATTTTTGATCACTGATACATATATATATATATATATATATATATATATAAGTACGTCTAAACAAGTGACAACTCTACGATGATACATGGCTGAAAACACATATTATATTCATAATTACTCTAAATATCAGCACAACAATTGTTAAATCTACAGCAAATTTTTGTTCTTCCCTCGCCAGGATTCGAGCTCATGCTATTGGGATATCGCGACAACACCGCCTGCACTGTGTCCAGCGCTCTAGACCACTTGGCCACCTAGACTGAACTTAAAATTTAGCTTTCGGTGGCCTAATGTTACTTTTCCTCATCAGTAGAATCTAGAGTTGTAACACAGTACATGATATATTAAGCATGAAGATGGAATTGAATTTAGCTAATCTGCAATCAATTCCATCTTCATGCCTAATATATCATGTACTGTGTTACAACTTAAGATTCTACTGATGAGGAAAAGTAACACTAGGCCACCGAAAGCTGAATTTTAAGTTCAGTCTCATGTTGTTTGTGCTGTATTTAGACCCCTCTACCAAGAAATTTGTTTTGCATGCAGGTGTAATACCACCAAATCTTAGTACATCACATCCGGTTGCATACGAAAAAGGGTTGAAAAAAAATATTCCCTTGAATTTGACAGTTGTAGGAAATTAATCCTACATTTCATTGCAGTAAGAAATTTCTAAGTCATAAACTTATATCTTGGGTGTTTCAAAGCACCATTATTTTTTTATTTGGTGTTTCTATAGAATGTTTTGGAAACTTGAGGTTACATGGTTACTAAAGCTTGTACACAGGAAAAAAAGGGGTGAAAATTTGAATTGTTAACTTCCAGTGATGGTTATTTTCTTATATGCAATGAAATGTTATGTGAAATTTTGTCTATGGTACTGGACAGGATAAAACTTTACTCATGCCAAATATTTCTTTATTTGAAACAAAGATAAATTCTGCACAATTTTTTGAAAAGTGCAAATTTAACAAAGACTAATAGGGGAAAATCAATGATTGTATTACACCTGCACACATATAAAAATTGCGGTTTTTATCCAACGCAATCATAGGTTGAACGTTGTTTTCAATTTAGACATGTTTATATTTTTTCGTTTGGGCTTGTATTATATTTGCCTTCGGGTTTATATAATCCATTCATCCTATTTCGACTGTTCAAAATTCAGGAGTCAATCCTAAATTGAGGTAAATTATATGGCCTTCCAAATACCATTTCCATTCCCAACATCACTGAAAAGACATTAATTGTTGAAATCCGGATATGGTGTACAAATTTTTGCACCTCATGTTTACGGTATGCCATCTTTTCTGCAAGTTTATTGTTTTCTGTTTGGTATTAAATTAATAATTAAGATCCATTTTGTTACATCTGGTGACCTGTTTATTTGGCAATCGCCTTGGCAGTCAGCAGGGTTTAAGAACATCCATTGTTCGACCTGCTAGTCAAATGCATTTTGTTAAAATATACTTTTTCACTTTTTTTGTCTTTTGGATAATGTTGTTTGTGCTGTATTTAGACCCCTCTACCAAGTAATTATACCCCCGCTTTAAAAAAGGGGGGGTATACTGTTTTACCTCTGTCTGTCCTCCCGTCAGTCCATCCATCAGTCCGTCAGTCCATCCGTCCGTCCCATGAATATTTTCTTTGCATTTTTCTCAGGAACTACTTGACAAGGATTTCTGAAATTTGGTTTCAGGGTTTATATAAGTAAGTTACACCGTGTGATGTGTTATCAGATTCATCACTCAACAACTTCCTGTTTACTGAACACTTGTATTATTTTACACATGATAGCCAAGTTGAAAATTTTTGTCACATTTTTCTCAGGAACTACTTGACAAGGATTTCTGAAATTTGGTTTCAGGGTTTATATAAGTAAGTTACACTGTGTGATGCGTTATCAGATTCATCACTCAACAACTTCCTGTTTACCGAACACTTGTATTATTTTACACATGATAGCCAAGTTGAAAATTTTCGTCACATTTTTCTCAGGAACTGCTTGAGAAGGATTTCTGAAATTTGGTTTTAGGGTTTATATAAGTCAGCTATACCGTGTGATGCGTTTTCAGATTCATCACTCAACAACTTCCTGTTTACCGAAATATTTCAGCAGGGTTATCATCAGTGAGCAGTTTTACTTGTTTGTTTTGCATGCACACATATAAAAATTGCTGTTTTTATCCAACACAATCATAGGTTTGAACGTTGTTTTGAATTTAGACTTGTATATATATATATATATATATTTTTTTTTCATTGTTTATTTCAGCCACTATTTTTACAAAGAACATTATTTTATATGAAACACAGAAGATCAAGAGACAATTCAAAAAGGTAAAATAAATCTTTAAATGATTTAGGATTGAGGTATTTTCTTAACAATTTCAAAAAAGGTATAAAAAAACTTTTGAGTGGTAGTTTCTCATGGAGCTTTCAGTATGATGAATCTTACCAAATATGAGATCTTAAATTTCTGTATCCTGTATCATACCCATTAAGTTTCCCTTCCACATGTTTTCTGGTAGGAATACACAACATTGATATGCCAGGTGTCAAGGTCATCACAAAAAATAATACAAAGCCATGTACAATGTATTTACAGTGGAAGACATTTTGTGTTCAAATGTTTGTAATTGATTCTACTGCTATACATTTACAGAATAAGAACAAGATGCCACTTTTAAATTATGATTTGTCGAAAGTAAAACAGTGGTTGCTAAAATAAAGTTTAACTTTACTTTTGTATCTTTGTTGACATGTTAATTCTTTTAGAATTTTGGTACAAATTTATTAAATTTTGTATTAGCTTTGATAACTTTATTTGATTTCTTTTTAACCATTCAGGCGTTATATATATAGTCCTTGAAAGATTGGAAAATAGACACTGAAGGACAAACAAACCTGAAAGCACCTTCAAAATACAGAAAAACATATTTGCTCTAAATCTGACAGCTTATTTCTTGTAACAAGTTAATTTGAACAGTTTAATCTATCAGTTTTAATTTCAAGATAAAAATGTAAGCAGTCTCTAACCTATAATTTGTTTTTTTTCTTATCTACAGGAAGAATTTTAAATCTAGTTCCTTACTGTCAACAGTAGAACAGAAACTGACTAAGACATTGTGCCAAGAAAAGTAAGTCTGTATACTCATTATATATTGAGCAAGATTTGAGTGTTTACTCATTATATGGGAGCAAGATTTGAGAGTCTACTCATTATATTGGAGCAAGATTTGAGTGTCTACTCATTATATTGGAGCAAGATTTGAGTGTCTACTCATTATATTGGAGCAAGATTTGAGTGTCTACTCATTATATTGGAGCAAGATTTGAGTGTCTACTCATTATATTGGAGCAAGATTTGAGTGTTTACTCATTATATTGGAGCCAGATTTGAGTTTTTCTTTCGTTAGCCAAGGGGGTGAGATTTCTTTTGTAAAGTATCTGTATTGCCTGTGGTGAAGATAATCCATAATTTTGATAACCAAAAGTCATTCTTGAACTGATAGGTTGTTCGGACCTTTTTAGAGAAAATAAGTTTTACAAAATTTCATTCATTTCTTTAATCAGGAGAGGGGTGAGATTTCTATTATGAAAGTGTTTCTTGAACAGATAGGTTGTTCAGGCCTATTCAGAGTAAAGAAGTTTTACAAAATTCTGATTGGATCAATAAATAATTCAGAAATTTGAATAAATAGAAGTCGTGGGTTAGATTCAATCAGACAGCAATCCTACAAAGTTCAGAAGTAAAGAAGATGTGGAGTAAACATTAATGAGACAGCAAACCCAACAAAAAAAAACCAAGAAAAGTATAGAAGACATCTAAAAATAGACATACAGTGAACAAGTTGTGTACTTTGTATATATAGGTCTTTACAAGAAAGAATAATAGCTTTAGAAAATACACAAAACTACAATGCTGGCTAGTTATTCATATGGTACAATAAATTTGTTCATTAAACCGTGTGTCAATAAAATGTATAAACTTACTGGACGAACGAAATTACCTGACTTGATGGTACAAGTAGTAAATTGTAAGACATCTTGAGTTAATAAAGTTTGGATACATTATTTATGATTGTATTTTGTATGAAAAATAACCTATCAAGACATATAAACATGCAAATAATATAAAAAACAAAGATAAACAGTGATTAAATTATTTAATGAAATCCCCAAAATAAAACTTAATAAATTTCACAAGTTAGTTCCATCACCACCAGTAGAAACTTATGTCTGAATGTCTTCCTCATTTTAAGACTAATTGTATAACTTTTTATATACTTTATTTCAGAGCCAAATCACACTTTCTGAACCTGACCTTCAATGGATTTTTCTCACAGAATGGTATGTGATATATACATCTATACAGACTGTAACAAAAACACTTCACAACTTTGTACTCTGTCTGTCTAATATGCCACAATATGTGACTTTGATGAGAAAAAAATTTATCTTAATTGCATCTCTATTAAAACCATAAACCTTCAAAAAAAATTTAACAATAGCTTTTACAGTAAAACCTGCATTAATGGTGTTTTCGTCTCAGTGATCACCTGCCTCTAATGGTCATTTTCAGACCCTCCAAAACATTTTCTCTATATAGTTTAACTCTTTTCAGCGGTCACCTAACTTTCGCACTAAATCATCATTTCAACTTTTAACAACGGTCATTTTCAGGTTTTTAACAAACCAAAGCATAATCATGAAGAAATGTTTGTGTACAGTTTCTAGGTCAAAATGAGAATCGGAACCAGTTTGCAAGTGAGATCGCCCAATAGGAATAAATTTGAAAATTTGCCCCTATCCCGGCTATGTGCAGTGTCGTAATCAGAATTTTGTTTTGAACCTCGTTTAAAAGGTCACCTCTCTTGAGAGGTCACTTTTGATACTTCCCATGAATGACTGCTTAATACAGGTTTGACTGTATCTGAGTTTTTTGCTGATGGCATTTTATGTTTCCGCAAAATAATTTAGACTGAGAATGAAAACTCATATTTGAAAATGAAACAAAATAGTTCAATTCGTTTTTATAGGTTTTACATCATACAGTACAAATTTCGCGAAAGGCTTCCCAAACTCCGAACAAGTTTTTTCTTGGTGAGACACCAGGAAACTCCGACATCCCTCCCTAAATTCTCGGAGAAATTTGGGAGTATTCCCTCCGACTTCCGCGTAAATTCGCTACCTTTTGTTTATTGTATTAGCGACATCTCTCCCAGTCCGGTGTGACGCGGTGTCACACCAGGTAATTAATTGCCCTAATCCTTCTGATCTATACCGGCACGCGACAGTCAAGGTATGTGAGATTACTTATGTAATTAAACAATTGTATTTCCTGTCTATTGATAATCAGGTTATATTTCTGATTGCTTGAAACAAATAAAAGATTTAAAAGCAAAACGTTGTTGTTAATTCTTTCAATTACACTGTACATTTAAAAATAGTTTTATTAAAAAAAAACTATATTTGATTTTTACCTCGTTTTTTTTCTGGTCAGTAAATTAATATTTAATATTTACTTTACAAAAGAGATATACTTGTGTAAAAATAAACGGAGACTTACGCTGAATAAATGTGGGCAGTTTAAAGGAAAATTACATGTCTCAAAGTTTTGTATACAAGTAAAAAGGAAAATATTATTCACTATTCGTTATGCTAATAAGTCCACGCCATTTTCATTTTACGATTACATAATTGCTTGAAACAAATTAAAGATTTAAAAGCAGAATGTTGTTAATTCTTTCAATTGCATTAAAGTTTTATAACAAAAACTATACTTGATTTTGACCTTGTTTAAGTTCATCGGTAAATTATTTTATTTACGAAAAGAGACATATATATACTTGCGTAAAAATAAACGGAAACTAACGCTCAATATAAAAGTGAGCAGTTTAAAGAACATTACGTGTCTCAAAATTTGTATATGCAAGTAAAAAAGAAAATACTATTCACCTTTCGTTATGCTTAATAAGTCTACGGCATTTTCGCTTTACGATTTGTTGGCATTACTTTAGGATAAATAATTACATTTCGGCTACAACAGGAATACTTCTATAGCTGCATCAACTCGTCGTTGCATAATATTCATTTACGCATAATGAATGTAAACTTGTGTGTTGTATAAAGGACAGTGATTTTTAAATTTTTTAAAAGAAATTAATTGCCGTGGGAAGACGATACACATCTCAGTGATCAACAGTCCGTGGTTGAACTTTGAACTTGACTTCGCTCACAATATTGAATGCTAAAAATAGTGACATCAATTTTGTCCACGGATTTTTATTTGGCGGGAAATATTATCACGTAACAGTAAACTCAGGTGACCTTTCTGGATGACCGTGGGAAAATTCATTCGGGGTTTAAATTTGCTTTGGAATGATTGACATTTGTATGCCTTAAGATTGAGGCTCTAGAAGGTCCTTTTACAATTGATTAACCGGAATCTAAAATATAATCCTTTTCTGAATAAACGAACACCAGCCTTTTAATTTTAGGTTTCTCAGTCAACAAAGGACATAAACCTGGACATTATTTATACGTCCATGGTCAACAATATATATAAATGGTAGATGAAAACAGGATGCATGTCGTTCAGTTCCTGTTGGGCGTTGGTAGAGATCCTCTATGAAAATGTGTAGATCGTAAAAATCCGATCCACATTTTTTTCACATATTTCTTTCTTGTAGAACACGATATAATTTCATTTAAATATTCTATAGTATTAATTGTTGAAATACTTCTTTTTTTTATTTCGCCAAGGACTTTTAACGAGCAGTAAAATACGGATTGCGCCCATCCAATTTTATTTTAAATAATAAAGGATCAATAACAGATCATAACAGAGATAAACAACACATGATTTTTTTTTCTTCATATAATTAAATTAGGTTGTGATTATTGTGTTGTGTCTGGGCGGGGAATGTCTCTCAGTGTTGTGTTTTTATGAATATAGGGCATATTGCATACAAAACGTTTTCCCTTCGTTCAACAGAGTTGTCACTTTACAGTTTCTTTTCTGAGTTCAAATATTTCAAGTCGGTAATCTACCGAGGTAGTGAAACATAATATTTTACATTGCAAAATAAATTGAAAGTAACAGAGTTCACTTGTTGATCCGATAAATTAACTCTTGGGTTTAGATTGGCCAAATTACCGTAAAACATCATTTTGTTTTAAGCCAGTTGATATTTATATATTGAACAATTAATGAACCGGATATTGCTCACTGAGTTGGTCATAAAAGATTCTAATTGTAGTAAAATCGTCTTTGTTGAAAAAACAAAAATTATGACCTGACCGGACTATAATAAAAATACAAAATAAGTGTTTTATTCGTATTTTTATACGTTTGTACGTTTTATTTCAAATGACAATGACATGGGGCAAATACATACAAGAATAATTATTTTATTTTGAATGAAAATGTCACAATTTTATCTGTCAAAGAAAGCAAATTTTAATACCGTGTTTTAAAGCACACAGGTGCAATCAAGATCGATTAAATGTACAAAGGTAATACATCTGGCTAATCCGATTATGTTGTCAGGCGTCATTAATTTTCAGTACATCCGATGGGCAATAAACCAATTAACAGCCACACGGTGTTGGGAGAGAATCTTTGGAGGAAATTGGGAGTATAATCCGTGATTCGCTATGTGACACCACTACACTCCGAAATCCGTGATGAGAGTTCGCGATTACAAACTCTCTGTGCGTACTGTACAACATGGTAAATATTAGGGTGAAATACAGATTTTCTCCTGTCTGTAGGGCCACCTTTAAAAATTTCTTAGTTTGATGTTGCCTACCCATGCCTTGTAGGGTTGGGGAAGTACGTAGGGATTTTATTATTTTTTGGCCAACAACATAAGTTGCATGTTTTTGAAAAGAAGATAATAGCAGGAAAAAATCTTTAAAATTTTTTTTTTAACCGATATGTCATTAAATTTTTTGGGTAGGCTGCTTTTTAGGTGGGTAGGTAGGCCACATCAAACAATCTAAATTTTATTTTTGGCCTAGTTGGTACATATATATATGTGAAAGACAATAGTATAGTCATCAAATAACCCTGGAGTTCAAAACCTTGTAAAAAGTGGATTGGACAGGCAATGAACTGTTTGAATTAGCCTTTTATTTTTCTATTGATACAATTGCTATACAATTGATCACTTGAACAATCGGGCCTTTGAATTCATGACATTAAGTTATTTGTAAAAGTCTAAACAGATATAAGAAGATGTGGTATGAGTGCCAATGAGACAACTCACCATCCAAGTCATTTATTGTAAAAGTAAACCATTATAGGTCAAAGTACGGCCTTCAACACAGAGCCACACAGGTATAGCAAAAAAACATCAAAAGACCACTATATGTTTCATTTTTTGTTGAAAATAAGTTTGTTTGTATTTTCTAATAAATTTGTTTTATCCATTGCAGCCTTGGATTGTGAAGAAGCTGAAGTTGAAGCTAAATTACTCAAAATATGTCATAAAAAGAGGAAGGTAGGAGAATTACTAATCTGTAGATTTATCATGTAATAGACATCTTGCAATGAAAATTAAATGAAATACGGGAGACGAGATTAGAACAACTAAATAAAGACTGAAAACTACATACTCCACTCTTACATTACAGTATGCTATCATTACAATTTGTATTGCTTTGTTTGAAGCTTAGAATGAATTCAGGTTACTGTAAAAATTCTATCACATTTTCGATGGAATTAAGATTTTTTAACTGCTGAGTGACCTTGCATTAAACCTTAGCTCACAGGAATGTTTACATGAATTGTTGGTGATATGTGGACACAATATTGTCACCAAATCCTTGGTAAAGCTGTCCACCATATCACCAATTATTCCTGTAAACACTCATCCCTGGTAAAGCTGTCCACCATATCACCAACTATTCCTGTAAACATTTCGTCCTTGGTAAAGCTGTCCACCATATCACCAACTATTCCTGTAAACATTTCATCCTTGGTAAAGCTGTCCACCATATCACCAACTATTCCTGTAAACATTTCATCCTTGGTTAAGCTTTCCACCATATCACCAACTATTCCTGTAAACATTTCATCCTTGGTTAAGCTGTCCACCATATCACCAACTATTCCTGTAAACATTTCATCCTTGGTTAAGCTGTCCACCATATCACCAACTAGTCCTGTAAACATTTCATCCTTGGTAAAGCTGTCCACCATATCACCAACTAGTCCTGTAAACATTTCATCCTTGGTAAAGCTGTCCACCATATCACCAACTATTCCTGTAAACATTGGAATCAAATAATGTTCTCACAGACAAATCATTGTTTTCTTCTATTTTACAATAACCCTTTGTTATTCTCTTTTATAACAGGATGTGTCCTCTCCAGTTTTACAGACCAGCCTTGGTAAACTGACCATTCCAGTAAACCCTGACGCAGACGAGTCATTATCAAAGACGTCCACCATATCAGTACCTCAGCATCATTTCTCACACAGCAGTGGACATTCATTTACATTACTTCTCACAGTCAAATTATTACCTAACATTACAAATGGTTTACATAATGGTGAACTATCAGACGAAGGTCAGTATATCATTGTTAATTAATTATCCAGAGGTAAAACTGGTATGAAGTATCTCAACTTTACCATAGCATACATCAAGATGTGAGAGATTACCTGTCATATAACACAATTTGAATTTACAGTAGGGGAGGCGGGGGGAGAAAAATCAAACTCCAATTGGGTGAATATCAGGAACTCAACTATGAATAGAAATTAAAAAAAACCTGTATACAATGATATTGGCCTGTTTGAAGAGCAGAAGACAGTACAATAAAGATGTAAAAATTTTGGAGTTATTAAATTTTTGTAAAGAACTGATTTTCCAGAGTTTTTTTTAATTTAAATTGGAAAATAGGTTTTTTTTTAATACTTGGTGAAGCCACATCACATGGGACCTTTCAGGGTTTCCCAATTTTGAAATACTTGATCTCTTCGTAAACCGTAAATTTGACAACATCTGTGAAAATATCTCCACTTCAAAACGAGCCATCAAACATAGCAAAGTTTATGATATGGACAGAGGAATGGAAGAAAGGCTACCATTGTTGTCTACTGTAAATTCAGAAATTATTGCGATGTTTTCATTATTGCAAAAATGAGACAGGGTTATAATCGCAATAATTTAAACTCGCATTTAAAATTTTTTTATAAGGATTAAACAGGATTTCTCTCAAAATCGCAAAAATTAAAATCGCATTTTAGTCTAAAATAACAAAATCGCAATAATAAATGCACGCAATAATTTCTGAATTTACAGTATTTGAAATACATTTCACATTTTGACCCAATAAAAGTCACCTGGCATTTAATACAACAACCACACATTGCATAAATACATTATGGCTAGACTGAAATATATTATGTATAAAGAAAAAATGAAACCATAATATTTTAAAATGAGAATTTGATGTTTATTACAGATGAACCTCCATCAAAGAAACAAAAAAATGGCTTTGATAACGAGTTAGATATCTACGAATCAGATCTAGTTGTCTATGACAGACAGAGAAGGTGTCAGTTAACAGACGGCATGTATGAGGTTGTGTTACATCAGATCCTTTCTGACAATGGAAAGGAGGCTACATGGGAATCTGTCATGGATGGAAAAGTAAGCAAAAAAGTAGTCCAAAGATTTTTCCATTAATAGTCAAATTCTGCTTTGACAATATTTTATCTTTAATTTTGAGTATTGACTGGAATTAAAGAAATTAAATGAATGAATTGATTAGACTCCACCCAGTCAGTCATTTCCTTATCTTTTTCATAGCTTCAGTTTGGTGTATTCCCCTCTTTCATCATTACTTTATTTTAGATGAAAAGATGTCTAAACCAACTTTCAATGTATTACTTTTGATAAACATGTGCTAAAATATTGAAATTATGGAAGGAATAATCTTTAATTTCATTGCATTGAATTTTTTATTTATTTCTATTTTTTTCAATAAATGTTTTCTTAAAGTGGTATATTTTAAAATCACTACAAGACAAGGGAAGTAACTCTACATTGGACCATGTATAAACAAACCTAGATCTGAGGTAACATGTGTTAATTAATAATATATTTGAGACCCTTGCTGTAAAGGGTAGTAATTCAATTGTCCACATTAATTTTTGCCTAATTTTATTTTGCTGACAACTCGAAGTAGATTGTTAATTGAAAATCATATATTTTGATGTTATTTAAAGCTCAGTTAAAGGGTAGGGCGGCACAATAAAAAGAGTAGGGCATCAAGATCACAAGGACAAGGACCCAGGGCATCACATAAAAGGGCAGTTACCCTGTGAAAATTGTCTAACTGGAAAATTGATTGATGTTTTGAATGGTGTTATTTTTTTAATACTTAATCAGAATAATGATTTTGATTTCTGTGAAGGGTGCAAGCATTCTATCAGTTTCATTTGTTGCATCCATTATTTTTGTTTTTCAGTCACTACAACCATTTGAAGTTTTTAGCAGATGTCCAACATTAGAGTTTCATATACATTGGACAGACAAAACAAGTTCATCTGATCATGTCTCAGGGCCACTCATTCCATTTACAGACCAGTATTCCAGTCCAACTCCAGACTCAGGTAATGACATAATTCTGTTTACAGACTTGTATTCCAGTCCAACTCCAGACAAAGGCTTTTCACATAATTCCATTTACAGACCAGTTTTCCAGTCCAACTCCAGACTCAGGTAATGACATAATTCCATTTACAGACTGGCATTCCAGACTAATCACAGACTTAGACCAATTAACCAAAGGTCAAGGTCACAGCAGCTATATTTGGCAATATTTCATGTTTCATACTGTAGGTATTTAAACAGTAAACTAGGCCAACAGGTCATTTTAAGCTTTTCACCTTTATATGGGGGTGTGGGGACGTTAGTTTGCTCACTAAAATCTCTTTATTTGGATCAGTAGGTGAAAGTTCAAAGTCACAGTACCTATTAATGGACTGAAATATTGATAAAAGAAGAATCGTTTAAGGACACTAACCTGTGAATCATAACGCAGATCTTTACCAATTTTTTGTGGAATATGAATCCTGGGTGAAAAAGACCCCTATTAATTTTTTCAGTCACAAGGTCAAATGTCAAGGCTAAATCAGCATTTGATATACTGAAATATGCAATTTTTGTTGTTTTCCATCATTTGACATAAATTGGCAACAGACTGGAAAGTGTTTATTGTCAACACAAAAACATGTTTCTTCTACTACAAACCCATAAAGATTGCAAACTGACATAAGTACCCATGGTGCTACTGTAAGGTTACTGACTCATTGGTTTATACCTCACACCTCTTTTAATCATACAGAGTATATATATAAAAAACACACAATTGCTTTCCAACATATCTTTTTTGTAAAAATGAAAGCTATCGTATTTTTACAATGTTGCTTAAAGCTACACAATGTAGCAATCAAAATGATAATACAGAGAGAAGCAAAAAATTAAACTGAACAGACCTAGCACAACCATTAGTTAACACTACTATCTATGTTGATTATAGATAGTCTTGCATACACAAGTTAGTACTCCAGTCATTAGAATAATCCACCAAGTCAGATTTTGTCATTAGAATAGTCCACCAAGTCAGATTTTGTAGATGCACAGTACTGAGATTCGTACTATGATATTATTACGTGAGTATTTCTGTATTGGCCTTGTTATTGGTCCGAGGCTTGCTGTATTGGCCTGAGGCGAAGCCGACGGCCAATACAGCTGGCCGAGGACCAATAACAAGGCCAATACAGAAATACACGTAATAGTATCTTTATTAATTAACTACAGTGTTACAATATTTTTTTTATTTCATTTCACAAGAGATAAACATTTTTACCTTGAACTGGAACTATCCAAATCTCAGTTTCTTTTTATAAGATGCAATATCTAATGATCTGGTGCCGTTTCCAGGTGTCTTCAGCATTTTCTCATCTGATGAATTTTTCTACCCTTTCCAGTCACTATAAAGTGTTACAATTTAAATTTAGACACAACACATAAATAGTAATTGGAAAGGTACTGCCATTGCATGTGTTATGTAGAAACAAATTGAATATATTTAAAAAAAAATAATGTAGGAGTTGAAAATGATACAACTATCCATAAGCCAACTGACCAAAGAACGAAGATTTGCACAATTACAGGTCACCCTTCCAGAATGCATATGCCTGGTTCGGGTTTAAAAATAAATGACAGTTTACAAAACATGAGAAGAGAAAGTAAACAGTAAATCGATTTGTACCATCGTGAAATTATGAGGTCGACAAGAAATGAACTTTGTGATAATCTACTCGTTCCCCAAACCTGAAATAATTCCATCGTCTGCTTTCAAAATGCTTTTTAAATGAATGTGACCGTCTTTAGCCTGAAATATATTGCCATACTGAACGTTTCAGCATGTTTATGGTGAGTAAATGAAAACTGCGTCTTCCAAACAACTGTTTACTTTCAGTTTGTGTTTATCGTGACTTTCGATCTAAAAACTAGAGACGTTCCGAAATCCTGTATTGGCCGGATCAGAACTCGGCCAATACAGAAAAAAAATCTATATTGGCCGAGTTATTCTGTATTGGCCGAGTTGACACCTTTATATTGCATAGGCAGTTTTCATCATATTAAGTCCAATAACAGTGTAGTTAATTAATAATATAGTGTTATTAACTGGCTGTTTCTGTATTGGCCCTGTTATAGATTCGAGGTTAGCTGTATTGGACCCGAGACTCGAAGAGTTGAGGGCCAACACAGCTGATCGAGAATCTATAACAGGGCCAATACAGAAACAGTCAGCTCATAAGACTTTTATTAAATGATTATAAGAAAATTAAAAACCGGAAGTGAACGTCCCGTATTAGCCCATGGGCCAATACGGCTTTTTTTCCATATTGGCCCTGTTTTTTTCCCGTTTCAAGACTTTAAGACGTTACAAAACATTGCACATCATTTAACCTGTTTATTTTATGATTTTAATTTAAAAAATATAATACAAATGTTTTTATGCATAATGATACCACCAACGTTAAGTAATGGCGTAAGAAAATTGAAACCGGAAGTGAACGTCCCGTATTAGCCCATGGGCCAATATAAACTCTTGATTTATATCGACAGTGGAATGTTTTCAGTATTGCACATGCTGATTTATCCGTATTAGGGCTTATTTGCTCATATCATTTAATAAATTATAATATACCAGAGTTTTCATTAAAGTTGATCATTTAAATTGCATATGAAACTGGCCTTCATATCTAGTGATTGCTGTGATTCAGTTTTATAATACCCAATATTCTTTATCAATTATTTTTAAAAGTTAAGAAAATCTCTACCACAATCACCAACAATACATAAGAACATTGTGTAATAATTTAATTTTGGATGTAACACGTCTTCTGATTGGCTGAACAGCTCATAGACATAATTTTGTCATGTGACCATGACGTCACCATGCTTTTTCATGATTTACTCTTAAAAATGGAATTAAGAATTAAATTACTAATATTTTTTCTGTCTATTCAAAATAACCTAAAAAATGTGGTGCACACTTTTAAATAACCCGCTATGCAGGTTCTTCAGTGTGCACCACATTTTTGATGTTATTTCTTCATAGACAAAAAATATTACAGTCATTCCTTAAATAAAAAACCCAGTAAGATACAAACATGTTTTTTTCTTTGCAGGGAATAATGAGATTAAAGAGAGCAATCAAACTACACCAAAGAAAACTCAGCGTATTTATTATCAGTTTTTATACAATAACAACACACGGCAGCAGACAGATCCACGGGACGATATGAAATGTCCGTGGTGTTCTCTTAACTGTGTCCATTTATACAGCTTATTAAAACATCTACGATTATCACATGCTAGATTTAATTTTATTTATGTTGTAAGTATGTATGTGTAATCATTTCTATTTCTTCAATTTTTTATAAAGCAGTGTGCCTTTATTAGATGGAACCTGTAGTTCTGTGGTTTTCGTTGGTTCATGTTTGTCATATTTGTTTTTCGTATTGTTTTGTTATAAATTAGGCAGTGAGTTTTCTCAATTGAATTTTTTCATATTTTTCATGTCAGGGCCTTTATAGCTGACTATACAGAATGAGTTTTTCTAATTGTTGAAGGCTGTACAGTTGCCTATAATTGCTTGCATCCACTTCATTTGAACAATCCACTTCATTTGAACTTTGGTGGATAGTTGTCTCATTGGCAATAATACCACATCTCCTTATTTTGATTATTGAAAATTAATATTAAAGAACCATTAAAATGCATCATAACAGATTGCTTATAAACTTAAAGAATGAAATAAAAAAAAAATTTATCGATACATTTTTTGTTTGAATATTTAGTGAAAGCAGCAAATTTTTTTTTTTACATTTCATGATTCTGATGGAAAAAGTTGTTTTTGCATTTTTGTCCCAATTATTATATTGAGTTCTCATGCATAATGAAATCTACTGGTCAGATTACAGAAAATTTATGAAAAATGATTACTGAAAAAAATCGCAGATTATGGAAACATATGTACTGATTGCACCAAAAATAGGATTGCATCTTTTGTATTGTTTATAACTTATTTTTACTTTGATAGGTCCATCCTAAAGGTGCCAGAATAGATGTCTCTATAAATAGATATTTTTACTTTGATAGGTCCATCCTAAAGGTGCCAGAATAGATGTCTCTTTAAATAGATATTTTTACTTTGATAGGTCCATCCTAAAGGTGCCAGAATAGATGTCTCTATAAATAGATATTTTTACTTTAATAGGTACATCCTAAAGGTGCTAGAATAGATGTCTCTATAAATAGATATTTTTACTTTAATAGGTACATCCTAAAGGTGCCAGAATAGATGTCTCTATAAATGATCAGTATGATGGATCTTACGTAGGAAATCCTCAGGATTTACATAGCCATGTAGGATATGCCTTCTGTAGGAGAGGTCCAGTTAGAAGGACTCCAATCACTCATGTAATAGTGTATAGGTAGGGTTATTAGATTTACATAGGGTTCATAAGATTAACCAAAAAATGGGATATTAATGTACTTGTTGTGAAAAAAATCACAAACTTTGAGAAACTTTTTTTGTCCCCCACGTATCATGTTGAGGGGACATAGAAATACCAGGCATCCGTCTGTCCGGTCTTGTTAGGGCTCTCACATATACAATTCTTGCCAGATTTTTACGAAACTTATATCATAGGTTTATATCAGCAATGTCTTGGACTAGTTTGAAAATCAGTGCTGATTAGTTATTTCTAAAAGAGTTATGCCCCTTGGAAATATTAATTATACACAAAATTGCCTTATGAATGCTGTAATGTGTACGATTCTTGCCAGATTTTTATGAAATTTTTATTATAGGTTTGTAACATCAATGTCTTTGGGCAGTTCAAAAATCAGTGCTGATCAATTATTTTTAAAAGAGTTATGCCCTTGGAAATATTGATTTATTTGGAAAATTGCATTGTTTGCACTCTCATGTGTTAAATTCTTGCCAGAATTTTATGAAACTTATATGCGAGTTATGCCCCTTGGAAATAATAATTATAATGGAAATCACAGTGCATTTGCTCTAAAGCCTTCATTTCTCTATTAAAGATATTGATATAAAGTTTAAAGAACAAAAAAAAAGGTGCTTTTTATAGTTATTGCCCTTGTACCTTGGATAGATAAAATATATGCAACACGGGGGATATTGGAACTCTGTTCTTTTATTATGTTAGGATTTCAACCAATATAATTAATATGCTATTCCTAATTATATCCCTTATCCAAAGGACAGGGAGGGGTATACTAGTTAAATTCTGTCAATCTGTGGTCCATTCCTCTATCCCATAGAATTTTGGTCACATTTTTATATGCCCGTTTATCGGACGTATTATGGTATACAGTTGTCTGTCCGTCGTTCACATGTCGGACAATAACTCAAAAACGCTTTAACCAATTTGGTGAATTGTTTATATCTATTGACATGAGCTCCCTTTCATCTTTTATAAATTTTAGATTTTACATTTCCAAGTTATGGGGGTTTTATTCATTAAAAAGGGGAATTTTCCAGTTTTCGGACAATAACTCAAAAACACTTTCATCAATTTGTAAGAAACTTTGGTGAATTGTTTATATCTATTGACATGAGCTCTCTTTCGATTTTTATAAATTTTAGATTTTACTTTTCCGAGTTGTGGGATTTTATTCATAAAAAGGGGTGATTTTCCAGTTTTCAGACAATATCTTTAAAGTGCTTTGAGCAGTTTTCGTGAAACTGCTGACTGGTTTATATCTATTAAGATAACCTCCCTTTAGTTTTTTTTAAATTTCTGATATGACATTGAGAAGTTATTGAACTTTATTCTTTGAAAAAGCGACAGGTATATCCTGAGCACATGGCGCAGCTGTTTATTCTAAGGATGTCCTGAAATTTTGCATTCAAAATTGGTTCAATATGTCCGTAATTATTATTTGAAAACCATTTAGGAAATGGGCGCCAAAATATATAGTGCTTGGATTTCTCTAATGTTCAATAATTGTAGAGAACACATCCTAAATTAATTCCTGGTCTCAAAGTTAAAAGAAAAATTGACAACTTTTTGAATTTTGCTTGCACAAGTATTAATTATTTGTTTTTGTGGCTCACATAAAAAAGTGCAAGCGGAGCCCTTGCTGACATGTCAGTTTTCTAGTTAATTTCAATCTAATTATCAATGGTGTTTAATCTTTGGACTGTATACTGATTGCTGATGCTTAGAAAAATAAGGAGATCTATCACTGATCATTATATATTATTTTGTATGCCTTTTATATTATTACTATGATTGATTTCAGACCAAAAAGACCCCCTCATTCTCTGGTAGAATTTATGGAACCAGAAAATGAAAATCAAGTAAACAGACAATTTACACAGGGTCACAATAGGTATGTACATATAAATACCAATTTTTAATAACGAGAGGCTTGCATTAAAAAATATGGTTTGAAATTTATATGGATTGGTGTGTTATTTTTTTTTTCAGAATGCATTAGATGTTTTGTGTATTTCACCTTGGTAACGTGTAAAATGTGATACATTTGACTTATTACATGTAGTGTTTGATTAACAAATTAACAATAATACATTAATCTGAATGTTGTTTTAGTATCACTGATATCTTCCATTAGGTATTTTTCACTCAGTTTGGTTTGGTAGAAAATTAAAACTTTTTCACTTGCACACACATATTTCTTATGTACACAAATTACAGAAAATAAGGAACTTGCAATGGAAAGTTTACCCACACAAACTCTTGTAGTCATGAAACATGAATAAAGGATGTTTTTATTTTCTTATACTTTTAGAACTTCTACATATATAAACAAATCTGTGTATTATTTGTATATAAACTATAGAAAATATTTTTTTCTGTCAGTTTGCAAAACTGATTATAGATAGACATGATAGAACATCAGTTAAGAATGTTTGCTCCTCTGTTTAAAAACAACAAGCTTTTTTAAAGACTGTATTTTTGTTATTTTATATTTTACCAATTGATAGTATGAAAATAATGGAACTTAGAAAGCAGAAAAAAAAATGAAAGGTCTGTGTCCTTGTTTTTGAGATATAAGCAATTGAAAATTTGGCAGGAAATTATTCTTCCTAGACTTTTCATACATTTAACATGGGCACCTTTTTTCTTTCAAAATCTATGATAAAATAACAAGGATTTTTTAAGATTTTCAAAAATGGCTTTTTATCATATATGTAATAAAATTATGAAAAGAAAAGTGGGGGTTTGGTGGGCAAAATTTTTAATGGCACTACATGGATAAAACTAGACAATTCTGAATATCTGATAAAAAGTCAAAAACAAAGAGCAGTGAACATCCTTTAATAATTTCCAATACTTTTATGTGTTTTTTTGCCCCTGCCACTAAATGGCCAGGACATAAAAGTGTTACCCATACCTATCATTCTGAAATCAAACAGTTGTTCAGACTTTTCTCTTTATACGTGCAGATATTGATCTGATTTTTGATATATTAGTGTATAATGATAACTTGTGGATCAAGTTTGTGGTTAAGTTTGCATTAGTTAGCGTTGACTTACTTTTGGTAGAATTATCAGCCTTGGACTTGAAAATTCATACAAGTTGTACTTGTCTGGACTTTTTATGTGTAATACCTGCAGATCTGGAGCTGAGTTTTGGTGAATAAGTGTATAACAATGACTTTCAGATTAAGTTTGTGTTTTGTTCCTATTGACTGAATTTTGACAAATTTCAGCCCTTAGACTTGTCTTGGCTTTCTTATTTTAATCGCTGCACATCTCTTGCTCATTTTCGGGACATCAGTGTATAATGATGCCTTTCAAATTGAATTGTGTTTCTTTATCTTTGTTCAACCTTTGCAAGAAGGCTTCAGGCAGGGACATTCATGTTCTAGAAACACATCTAGTTTTTTTTTTAATTTATTAAATCTTTGATATAAACACAGTGTTATTATATGCCTTCAACTCTGAAACAATTCTTCAATTATATTTTATAACTCGATGAAGTAAATGTTGGTTTTAGCAAATTTTAAGGGACCAGAAATATGAATTCCCCATAATGTGCGATTTGTTGTGTTGAGATATCAAATTTGGTTTATACCATATTACAAATTTATTATAAGAGGCCCAGTGGGAATAAGACGAAAATTTTAAAGGTTTGTGCATCTCTTGAATGATGTGCACAATTTCTAAACTTGAATGTTATAACATAAGAAATGTTTACTTTTAATAGAAAAACCACTTTCCAAGATAAGTGGAATACACCGTTATGATACAATATACCAGTTTGGCAGTTGATTACTGGTATATATATAGTTGTCATAACATGTAGACTGTCTAGCCACGGTCTAAATTTAAAGAAGAAGAATTGATTAGATCTGAAGGTAAAGTATTTTGTTAGCCTTATATAAAAGATTATTGAGATTTCAAGATTCTTCTGTGAGAATCAATAATGGCTTGTCAATAGTTGTGAAATTTTAAAGTAGATTATTAAAAGAAAAAAAATCACTAAAGTTCATATATAATTTGTGTATGCTTCAGGTTATATTTCCATCTGGGAACTTGTCAGCCAGTGAAACCATCAGAGATTGATATGGAAGATGAAATAGATCCTCAGTGGTTACGACAAAAAACTGTTAATGTGAGTATCTCAGCCAATAATCTTAGGAGGTTAAGAACTGGTAGTACATGTATTTCAGCTAATAATCCAAAGACACAAAAAAGGAAATAAAGGGACTATGTCATATGCTAATACTTTAGTAAATAATGATGACAAATGGGTAATCTAAGTCAGTCTATAATCCTTCATGGTTAAGAAGAAAAGCTGGTAGCACAAGAATTTTAGGTGAAGATAGTCTTTAAAATTAAGTACTCCTGAAGTCCTGATGCCTACATTTTTATGCCCCCGCTGTAGCTGTAACCAAATGTAATGAAACTTGTACACAATGCTTATTCAGGGTTTTTCAATAAGCACCTTTCCCCGTTTCAAATTAAGGAAATCGCTGGTTCAAATTGTGTTTCCATAAAAAAATGAAATGTATAAAACTGTGCTATTGTTGCGTAATAAAACAAGTTGTTATCGATTGCGCTTTATTTAGGTGTTCTCGTCGAGGTCCGCATTATAATATATTTATAGATTCTTGACAATGTTACGAAGATGAATAAGGAACGAGACATCCGAAATGATTTTTAATGCGATCATTTGTGCACTTTGTAAAAGGATAATTTTAGATATTAGCGAAGCGCCCTTTTGTCACAGAGAGAAAACATATGTTGATCCAGACAAGTAAACAAGCAAAAAGAAAATCGACATTGCTTGATTTCTTTACAGCCCCAAAAAAGAACAAAGAAGCAGGTGAAAACAGAATCACATATTATGCAGTTTACGCATGAATATCGATAGTTTTTGTGACTGAAAATTCTTTAACAATGATCATAATAATTTCCGGATCCATTCAACGCTGATATGGTTGTCAATTATATGTAATTATTGACGCGGAGCTCAACGAGAACACACAATATGTCAGTGTAACAACATGTCAATGTACATTTATTGCTTATCCTGTTTCCAGTTTCTGTTATATTTTTATAGTCTAACCTACTCTGAAAATTTATTATAAAAAAAAAATCACAGAAATTTCATATAGGTTGGCCTGCAATTTTTGTTTCTGTGCATGTTATTTTTTTCAATTAGTTATTAATAACTATCAGCTGCTTTCTGACCTTTTGAAAATTTCTGGCAATATGATTGATTAGAATTAAGATCATTATTGATATCAAAATATTTTTATTTGATAAGCAATATCACAATTTCCAAACAAGATTAACCTTATTTAAAAATAAGCTAAAAAAAAAGATATTATTCCTATGAAACCTCATTTTTTATGTGTTTGTAAACAGTCTGAAAATGCCTCAGAGTGCACAATTTTCAATGCAAGTCAAAAACAAATTTCCCCAACTTCTATAAGGCACTTCAAATTAGTAAACAACCTGTTCACTTCAAACTTATTGAAAACCCTGCTTATTACCACAAAACACAGATCAATTTTGAATTTTGATGGCATCACTTTTACCATTCTAGAGTTATGCCACTTTACAAATGGAAAAATTGCTGAATTTTCATTTCCGTTCTCTCACTTAAGTTTGCCTCAACCAAATGTTATGAAACTAATACACAATGCTTATATTACCACAAAATGCAGATCAAGTACGAATTTGGGTGCCGTCGTTGTTACCGTTCTTGAGTTATGTCCCTTTATAACGTTGTATGCAAGCTGGGCATCATCTGTGTCCAATGGACACATTCCCCATTTATTTGTAAGGGGGCTGTTGAATTGGTGAATTGGTGAAAGAAATTTTACAGAAGATTAAGATTTCTACAAACTAACTAGTCTGACCTGTTAAACATCAAGAACAGTTTCTGTCTCTCTGACACTAATTATAGAAAAGAGAGGCAGTAGATTGCAATGGGGCAATGAAAAAATCATGTCCAAGAAAAACAGACAATATCACGACCAAAAAGAAAAATGAAAGTTTACACATTACACTAAAGACTGAGCAACATGTACCCTAACAAAAACACCCTGGTGTTCTGATGGGGTAAGCAGATCCTGTTCCACTAGTAGTTGTATAACAAAATAACTTGTTATGAGTATGTCATTAAACCATCATCTGTGGATGTACAGGATAGGATAGAACATTGTAAACTGTCATCTGTGGATGTACAGGATAGGATAGAACATTGTAAACCGTCATCTGTGGATGTACAGGATAGGATAGAACATTGTAAACCGTCATCTGTGGATGTACAGGATAGGATAGAACATTGTAAACCATCATCTGTGGATGTACAGGATAGGATAGAACATTGTAAACCGTCATCTGTGGATGTACAGGATAGGATAGAACATTGTAAACCGTCATCTGTGGATGTACAGGATAGGATAGAACATTGTAAACCGTCATCTGTGGATGTACAGGATAGGATAGAACATTGTAAACCATCATCTGTGGATGTACAGGACAGGATAGAACATTGTAAACCGTCATCTGTGGATGTACAGGATAGGATAGAACATTGGTGGTTACAACAACAAATCTGTGGATGTACAGGATAGGATAGAACATTGTAAACCATCATCTGTGGATGTACAGGATAGGATAGAACATTGGTGGTTACAACAACAAATCTGTGGATGTACAGGATAGGATAGAACATTGGTGGTTACAACAACAAATCTGTGGATGTACAGGATAGGATAGAACATTGTAAACCATCATCTGTGGATGTACAGGATAGGATAGAACATTGGTGGTTACAACAACAAATCTGTGGATGTACAGGATAGGATAGAATATTGGTGGTTACAACAACAAAAAAACAATTGTATAATGAATTGTGACGGAAGTGTATCAGGCTCAGAAAAAAAGTACAAAAATAGACAAAAGATGCCGTACAATGCCATGGCAAAAAATGAAAAATGACTTAAAGGCAAACAACAATCTTCAAAATACAACATAGAAAAGTAAAGACTTAGCAACCCAAAAACAGAGGTGTGGTGATGTCAGTTGCCCAGATAACATAGAAAAGTAAAGACAACGGAGCCCCACCAAAAACAGAGATGTGGTAATGTCAGTTGCCCAGATGGCGAAGCCAGGAAAGTTTATCCTGTTCAACATGTTACTTCAGCGCATATGTGGATGAACCTATAAATTTTCCTCGCAGTCAGATCCTATGTCAAGACTTGATTGTGATTATTTTGTATATTTTGTAGATGATAGATGAATTATGCTATGTACAATGTTTTGATGTTAAATATTGTGTATATTTTGTAGATGATAGATGAATTTACCGATGTTAATGAAGGAGAAAAAGAATTGATGAAGTTATGGAATCTTCATGTGATGAGAAACAAGTATGATAATATAGTTTTCTTTAGCATCTGTTTTACAGACTAAACATTTTATCATTTGTATTACAGTTAAAACACAAAAATCTGTTTTAAAGTAAAACTTTTTTTATAAAATGAATAGTGTGTGTAGTTATACTTCACAGGATATTATATAAGGGCTATTCCATTATACTTCACAGGATATTATATAAGGGCTATTCCATTTCATTGATTGTAGTAGGGTAGAAAGGAAATTTTTATTTTGGACTTTGGTCGTAGGTCAATTATGGTTGTATGACCTTTAATGCATACAAAATAATTGAACCAAAATGTTTTAGTTTCAGGGGAATTTTCAAAAGTCCCTTCCTACACTCCCACATCCATTTTAATGGAATAGCCCTAATTATAGAACAATACTTTGCCTGCATTTCAGTTATATGTGAGACTAACATTTTACCCATATTTCAGCTATGTATTTCAAATATATTTCAGTTAATAGGAAGGATTACGTAATATTTTACCTTTATTCATGTATTTAGATGATATTAATTAATAATAATATGTTATGTATATTTCAGCTATATCAGTGATTGTCAGATTGTGACCGCTGCCTTGGAGTTTGTTACACTACATGGCCAGGAAATCTTACAGAAAAATCTGTACCAAAACTTTATACTACACATGGTCAATCTGTTTGACTTTAGTCTGATCAAACCAGAGGAAGTACAGAGGATATTGACTAAACTAGAGGAAATCAAAACCAGCATGTCATAATGTCAAAAGTCATAATGTCAGAGGTCGAGTCATATTTATATCATTGCTTTACTTGTAAAACTTTTACTGTTATTTTATGTTCAATGAATTTTGTAATAAGTTGAAGATTTAAAGATGGCATGTTTTGGAGCTCAAAATTGAATTAGCTCCTTTCTTCTTCCAGTTTAATATTTGATCATTGTTAGTTGTGCCTGTATTTATATATTTTGTATGCATATTGAAGCGCTTTGTAGTTGGGGCTGTATTTAAATAACTAAATTGGTCTAAGAATTGCTATTTTAATCATAATTTTGAAAGAAATAACACATCTGAGAATTGTCAGCTAAATAAAAACATTTATGCTTTACCATCTGCTTTTACCAAATTTTGGAAGGTAAGGCACAATTCCTGTTTTACACCAATATCATGATATTATCAAATAAAATAAAGCAAGCATCAAAATTGGTTTTGTAGGTGAATTTACCTCATTTTTGTTTTGCGACACTTCAATCTCCTATATTTTGAAACAATTTTTTGCTATTTTTCTCAAAAAAATATCTTGAACATTTTAATTGAAATGAAAATTATGTTATATATTAAAATATATGGAGTTTTACATCAAAATCATTTATATCAGAATCTCAGGATGATTTTGCTCAATACATATTTTGCCTTAAATTTTCCCTTGGATAATTGTATTTATAAGGAATTGAAAATAGAAAATAGATTTATTTCAAGGTATTTCCTGGAGACGACTTGTTTACACGAGTACATTGTTTACGTGAAGAAGTTGCATTATATATTTTCCTGAGAATTTTTACTGCTGTGGCTGTGTCCAGCATGGGCTGTGTCTAGCATGGGACACATTTGTCTTCAATATCTATGTGTGAAAAGGGTACCAAACTCAGAAATCTTTGTAAATTACAAGGATATTTCACCACAGGAGTCCATAGTATATAGTACAATGCTGTTTGCCAACATTGGGGATAAATTTAAAAGTTTGTTTGAAGGACCTTTTCTCCAAAAACCTATGGTTGCTAAAGAGCAAATTTGGTAAATTAAGCAAGTGACTCGACATTTTAAGGAACAAGTGTTTTAGTCCTTCATGCAAATTATGCTATCTAAGTTAAAATTATATTTCATGAAAATTACAAAGTTCACATTCAATTCTACAATGAATTATAACAAAACAACATTAGTTTGATTGTGTAATGTAAATTATTCAGTATATCAGGTTGGTTGCTGTGTTTTATTTTAATTTATTTAATTATGTATCAGCAGACTCTCCCTATTTTTTCTGGGGTCAGAATGAAACATGGGTGTACTTAAAAATACAAATGAATTATTATATTGTGCAGTATTTTCAATTAAAAAAAAGTGGAATGTCATGCGTAATACAGATTACTAGTATTATCCTAAATGTTCGGGGTAAATCAATTGTACAACTTATTTTGAATACATGTCGGCCATATTGTTCCATAAAATTTTTTAAAATGTGATATGTATGTATGTGCAGCTGAATAATTGTAATAAAAGTAATGTTGTTAAATTAGATGACCTTTTGTGTTGGAGTCTGCTTTGGACAAACAGGACTGTTGTATTCAAGCTAACAATTATTTAAAATAAGATGGTCTGACTGCCAATGAGACAACTTTCCATAAGAACAGAAGCAGCCTTCAACAATGAGCAAAACCAATACTGCATAGCAAGCTATAAAAATCCATGACATATGACATACACAGCAACAAACAAAAACCACTGAATTACTGGCTCAGTTGTTTAACTCATAAGCGTGCCTGAAATACTAGTTGTATACTGTATATAGTTAACACACTGCATCATATAAGATACAATGTCCACCAGCAACCAATATCACTTGCAGACTTCGAGTTTTAGAATGGCATAGCTTGTATAAAACATTTAATCTCTGATTTACTTGAAATATAACTATGGAACAACCATAACATAATTTAGAAAGAAGCATAAACTATACTCATAAGATAATTCTAATGTTCCATGGGGCTAAATTAGGTGGGAGTTAGAATAATATATCTAAATAGGGTGACATGTCCGACCTAGCATATCAGTGTTGCTGATACAAAGCAAGGTATATTTATATGACAATAGCATATTATCCTGGTTATGTAAATAATATAAGCCACTTGTATTTTAAGAAGCTCAATCAAGGCAAGTGGGATGAATTGCAATCATTTGGCAACTGACATTCCTCAATTTTCTCAAAATTTTAACACCATGTTTCTGGCGGTAGTGGCTTCAACATGGACAGTTACAGTTTAAGTGAACCATTTATGATAAGTCAATGATATTTGGTATGCTGCTGTACAAAATGTATAAGCATTTGCACATCTCATTTCCATTGGGATTAGTTGGGCATGTCCTCTTAGTCATTGTCATGGTCTACTGACTTTGAAACTGTTTCATAGTTTTGAAATACATGTTTAAAGTTTGTGATTAGGTCAGTTTAAGGGGAACCACTTATGATAAGTCAAGAAATTTGGTACGCAGTTAGAGTTAGCATTTGCATATTCTGTTTCCAGGGAAATTATTTGGCCGTGTACTGTGTCATGGTTATATACTTTCAACATTTTGCATAATTTAAGTGTTAAAGTATTACTATTCTGTATCTATATGCCAATAGAGGCACGCCTTCTATTTTAATTTCAACATTTGCATTTTACTATCAAAATTACATACAGACAAGACATGTCTGTCGACAGTTTGTTCTTATGTTATACAGGTATACCACTGTCCCAGGTAAGGATCGAGTGCTAAAAAACATGTTTAACACTGCCACATTCTATATGTGCCTGTCCAAAGACCAGAGCCTGTAATTCATGGATGTTGTTGATAGCTGTCTGATATAATTTTGTTTTGCTAATTATACCCCGATTTAAAAAGTGGGGGTATACTGTTTTACCTCCGTCTGTCCGTCCGTCCATCAGTCAGTCCGTCTGTCCCATGAATATTTTTAGTTGCATCTTTCTCAGGAACTACATTACAAGGATTTCTGAAATTTGGTTTCAGGGTTTATATGAGTCAGCTATACCATGAGATGCATTTTCAGATTCATCACTCAACAACTTCCTGTTTACCTTATACTTTCAGCGGGCAGGGGTATCATTAGTGAGCAGTAGCTCACAGATTCACTTGTTTTGTCATCAATCGGGCCATTGATTTATTGTTTGAATTGTTTGTGGGGCCTTTTAAAGCTGATTCAATATACTGTATGGCTTGTGCTCATTGTTAAAGGCTGAACAATGACCTATTATTGCTTAAAACCAGGTCATTTAGACTCTGTCTGTTGGATAATTATTTCATTGGCAATCATACCACATCTCCTTATTTTAAATTCAAATTTCTACTTCTCAGAAAACTACAAGCCTAACTTTTCAACCACCTGCAAGTTATAATTGAGAGACACAGCAGATTATTTGTTAGTGCTGATAGGCTTGTTACAGAACAGATACAGATGCAGCTCTATTGAAGATCATATTTTCAAAACTTCTTGGCCTATTTTCAACTAATATGGAATGAAAAATGAATGAAAGATCCTTTAACAAAAATTTCTCATTCTGTTCTGATTATGTCATAAAAAATAAATACCATGCCACAGACAGATGTAACATTTATTTGACACGGCATACATGTAATATGAAGTAGTAATATTTTAACAATGTCTTCTATAGGTACTTTCATTTTTTCATTCCGAAATGAAATAGTTTACTGTGTTATATTGTGTTCTTCTTTTTTTTTCTTCACTTAATATACTTCCTCCTTCAACTCTGTAGATCCTGTTGGCTGAAATGTGATATTGATTGTCATTTATAACACAGCTTGATATTACTCCTAGTACTCTCTCTCTATTGGTAATCATTTACACAGCTCAAAATTACTCTTAGTAATTTGTGTCTCTTGGTAATTATACTTCCTATGCCGGCAGACTGTCATTTTGTACTGATAATTTATTGGTACAGCTTTTCATTCTCCTGTATAGACAGGTTATGGGTTATTGATCATTTTGTAGTACCATTTCTATGTATTGTAACCTTCCACAGCTCCTGTAAATATTAATTATGACAGAGGTTATAATTGTAAATGTAAACAAAGATACATGTATATGAACATTCAATAATTCCGTCAGTATCAATCTCCTACAAAGTTATCTCACTAAAACCACTGTAGTTAAAGGTAAGATATCTGACCTGATATCACATTTGCAAACATAAACCTCGGATCTGCAATATTTACTTAATTAATGTAGTGAACTTGATCTTCTTAAAAATTTAATTGATATTCATGACTGCTTCATAAAGTTACAAATAATCTTATATATCATTTAAATCTATGAAGCATTTATGATATAGACATAGCATCATTGTAAACATGAAGGTAGGGCCTTAAATGTTAAATTAAGCTTGCCACCTGAACATTCAAGACAAAGATAACAACTTCTAGTAGTGGTTAACAACAATCTTCAACTCTATACAGTACTAAGATAAAAAGTGGATAAGGTTTGCAAACATGAATCTAGGGTCTGTGATCTTAACCTTCTGTCTGGAAATTCCAACTTTATTTGAGACAAAATTTCTTATATGATGTATCAACAAACTTATTACTATATTACTACCAGCAAAGGTTGGAAAGGTCCTGTTGGCCATAATAAACTACACAAATACATAGTACTTACAAGCTCTTTAGTCCTATTGTACTGGAAACATTGTGGAAATTCCTCTTCACAGGATATGGTAAACTGAGCATGGTCAGACATGTCTTGTAACTGTGTCAAACATTGTCTGAAGTGCTGGTAAGCTGGACAAGCTATGTCTAAATCTTGTAATGTGAATACATATCTGAAAACAGTCAAGATATTAACCACTAAACAGAAAAGTAAAGAACTATAAGATTATAAACAGAAAAATCACAAATCAACCAAAACAACTTACATTGCCATTATTTGACATTTACCAGTAACACCACAAATCAAGAATGACATGTACAATGACCGCAAGGAATAATGTTTAAGGCCAAAATATTTGAAAACCAAAACCCAGTAGTATACCCCATACCCAGACGAGGAATCAGAGCTATGCAAGAACGACATACATTCCTTAACTAAAATAATTTTTAAGATTTTAATTTAGCAAAATTGAATACAGCAAAATTAATATTTGTATTTTCATGCCAATCTCTGGTGGAGAGTTGTCTCATTTGCAATCATACCACATCTTATTTTTATAGCAAAGTACTATTGGGCTGGTGATAGTGGTAGCTTAATGTTGACTGATAGTTCACCAGCAGAGGTATTGACCCAGTGGTAGCCATTACATAACCATTACTTATTTTATTGCAGCACATGTGTATTAAGTCAGGGTGCACTGAAAATACAGAAAACAAAAATTACCTTTTCTCTGTAGAAATGTACCAAGTACTAATGGATGTGTTGACCATTAGACCATAAACAGTTCTAAATAAGGCATCTGTAATGTTGTTATCATATATAACTGAAAAAGAATTCATAAAAAATCTAACAGGTGTCAATTAGGTTTGAACAAGAGTGCACATGCTGAAATGTCTCACCTGCTTTACTTATCATGATTGAATTTATGTTGATTGTCTGTAATATGAAGGTTTTACTTTAAGTTTCAAATAAAATTAACATTATCCATGTTCAATGTAAATGAGGTCAAGGCCAGATGAACCCTGTCAGACAAACATGTACACCTTACAATCATTACATACACCAAATATAGTAGACCTATTGCTTATGTGTTCAAGACCTTATACCAAAAATTGAGCAGTGACCATTGAACCATGAAAACACTGACTTTACCACTTAAACTTAACCTTGATCACTGATCCATAAAATGAGGTCAAGGTCAGGTGAACCCTGTCTGACGGCAATGTACACCTTGCAAGAAACCTATATACCAAATAATTTTAACTTTTTACTCATAAGTGAGAAAAAAACTAACTTTTTTCAAGTAGTTGCTGAGCCATGTAAATGAGGTCAAGGACAGTGGACCTATGGCAAACAGTAACTTTGTTACATAAGGCATCTGCATACAAGGTATGAAGTATCAAGGTCTTCTACCATCTAAAATATAAAGCTTTAAACAAATATGTTACACTAGCTGCTGTCGGGGGATTGTAATCCCTATGTCTCGCAACTGCAACGAAAGTCGCAGGCGAGACAAAAACTTCAGTTCTATTGAGACATAAAACGAACATCAGCTGATATAACAATGTCACAGGAATCAAGTTACCATCAGCTAATATAACAATGTCACAGGAATTAACTTACCATCAGCTGACATAACAATGTCACAGAAATCAACTTACCATCAGCTGACATAACAATGTCACAGAAATCAACTTACCATCAGCTGACATAACAATGTCACAGGAATTAACTTACCATCAGTTGATATAACAATGTCACAGGAATTAACTTACCATCAGCTGACATAACAATGTCACAGGAATTAACTTTCCATCAGCTGATGAAACTATGTCACAGAAATCAACTTACCATCAGCTGATATAACAATGTCACAGGAATTAACTTACCATCAGCTGATATAAAAATGTCACAGGAATTAACTTACCATCAGTTGACATAACAATGTCACAGGAATTAACTTACCATCAGTTGATATCACAATGTCACAGGAATTAACTTACCATCAGCTGATATAACAATGTCACAGGAATTATCTTACCATCAGCTGATATAACAATGTCACAGGAATTAACTTACCATCAGCTGATATAACAATGTCACAGGAATTAACTTACCATCAGCTAATATCACAATCTTACCATCAGTTGACATAACAATGTCACAGAAATCAACTTACCATCAGCTGATATAACAATGTCACAAAAATTTACTTACCATCAGTTGACATAACAATGTCACAGGAATTAACTTACCATCAGTTGATATAACAATGTCACAGAAATCAACTTACCATCAGTTGACATAAAAATGTCACAGAAATTAACTTACCATCAGTTGACATAACAATGTCACAGGAATTAACTTACCATCAGCTGATATAACAATGTCACAGGAATTAACATACCATCAGCTAATATCACAATCTTACCATCAGTTGACATAACAATGTCACAGAAATCAACTTACCATCAGTTGATATAACAATGTTACAAAAATTTACTTACCATCAGTTGACATAACAATGTCACAGGAATTAACTTACCATCAGTTGACATAAAAATGTCACAGAAATTAACTTACCATCAGTTGACATAACAATGTCACAGGAATTAACTTTCCATCAGCTGATGAAACAATGTCACAGAAATCAACTTACCATCAGCTGATATAACAATGTCACAGGAATTAACTTACCATCAGTTGACATAACAATGTCACAGGAATTAACTTACCATCAGCTGATATCACACTGTCACAGGAATTAACTTACCATCAGCTGACATAACAATGTCACAGAAATTAACTTACCATCAGCTGATATAACAATGTCACAGGAATTAACTTACCATCAGCTGATATAACAATGTCACAGGAATTAACTTACCATCAGCTAATATCACAATCTTACCATCAGTTGACATAACAATGTCACAGAAATCAACTTACCATCAGCTGATATAACAATGTCACAAAAATTTACTTACCATCAGTTGACATAACAATGTCACAGGAATTAACTTACCATCAGTTGATATAACAATGTCACAGAAATCAACTTACCATCAGTTGACATAAAAATGTCACAGAAATTAACTTACCTTCAGTTGACATAACAATGTCACAGGAATTAACTTACCATCAGCTGATATAACAATGTCACATGAATTAACTTACCATCAGCTAATATCACAATCTTACCATCAGTTGACATAACAATGTCACAGAAATCAACTTACCATCAGTTGATATAACAATGTTACAAAAATCAACTTACCATCAGTTGACATAACAATGTCACAGGAACTTACTTACCATCAGTTGATATAACAATGTCACAGAAATCAACTTACCATCAGTTGACATAAAAATGTCACAGAAATTAACTTACCATCAGTTGACATAACAATGTCACAGGAATTAACTTACCATCAGCTGATATCACAATGTCACAGGAATCAACTTATCATCAGCTAATATCACAATCTTACCATCAGTTGACATAACAATGTCACAGGAATTAACTTACCATCAGTTGATATAACAATGTCACAGAAATCAACTAACCATCAGTTGACATAACAATGTCACAGGAATTAACTTGCCATCAGTTGACATAACAATGTCACAGGAATTAACGTACCATCAGCTGATATAGCAATGTCACAGGAATCTATATCATTTTCTACTTCATGGTCCATCTTTAACTTTACTTCATCAATTTTCTCTACTAAATAAACAACGGTCTGATTAAATAAAAAAATGTCAGACAAAACATCATTTTGTAGATGGGAGACTGGAATATTTTTCTTTTGTCTAATTCATTTCTTTTAAAATATACAATCAGTTATTCTGAGATGAATTTTCTATATAGAATACATTGCTTTCATATACACTGTACCTAAATAGATAATTGTATTTTTCTTTTTCTTCTTCTTTAAATGTATTTTTCAGTTCCTTCAGTAGAAAAACTAGAGGCCCTAAAGAGCCTGTGCCGCTAACCTGCATCTCAACAATGGCCACTTTTTAGTAAAAATCATCATTAAAGGGGAATAACTCTATTAAGAGTTAACTGAAAATTTCAGTCATGTTGACATATTTGTAGATCTTATCCAGCTGATAATTTTTCGTTTTGGAAGTTTCTTTTTATCTATTATAGTTTTCAACATAAGCAAAAACTGCATATAAATGTTAAAAATTATAATTAAAGGTAGTTCAGGGGTATACCACCATCTTGAATTGTACAATCACAGTACATAATCGGTCTATTTCTTTGCCTAAATCTGCAAATTTGGAGACAGATTTGCAATTTATTGATTACACTGTTTGTTTATATAAAGAAAAATTAGTGATTCATTGCATTATCGAAAATGTTTTAACAAATACCAAATATTTGTGTTTTTAGAATCAATTTTTCAAATACGCCATTTAAGGGGAGATAACTCTTTTAGTACAAAATTTATACTGGACTTATAAGGAAATTTTCATTTTTTACTTGTAGCAAGAAAATAAGTTTGGTGACACCATTTTTTTCTTTCTATTTTCAATGATTTTCTTAAAATATATTATAAAACCTATCTTCTCATATTTTATTTCAAAATTCTGTCATATAGATTTCTATTTATGCACAAAAATGAGTTTTTTCATGAACAGTCTAAGCAAATTTTGGCAATTTTGAACGACTCGTACCTTGAAAAATAGCATGGTGACCCATACCTTTTATTATTTTTTTGAAAAAAGCATAGTAAAATCTTCATTTTGGCAAAGTATAAGAAAATTCTGTCATTTTTGTCGAGCCTTCGACTTTAGTCGAAAAAGCGAGACATAGCGATCCTACATTCCGTCGGCGGCGTCCACAAATATTCACTCTGTGGTTAAAGTTTTTGATATTTTAATAACTTTCTTAAACTATCCTGGATTTCTACCAAACTTGGACAGGAGCTTGTTTATGATCATAAGATAGTATCCAGAAGTAAATTTTGTAAAAATAAAATTCCATTTTTTCCGTATTTTACTTATAAATGGACTTAGTTTTTCTGCCGGAAATATTACATTCACTCTGAGGTTAAAGTTTTTAAAATTTTAATAACTTTCTTATACTATCATTGGTTTCTACCAAACTTGGACAGAAGCTTGTTTATGATCATAAGTAAGTATCCAGAAGTAAATTTTGTAAAAAAAAAATCCATTTTTTTCCTTATTTTACTTTTAAATGGACTTAGATTTTCTGCCAGGAAACAACACATTCACTCTGGTTAAAGTTTTTAAAATTTTAAAAACTTTATTATACTATTTTGGATTTGTACCAAACTTGGACAGAAGCTTGTTTATGATCATAAGTAAGTATCCAGAAGTAAATTTTGTAAAAAAAAAATCCATTTTTTCCTTATTTTAATTTTAAATGGACTTAGATTTTCTGCCAGGAAACAACACATTCACTCTGTGGTTAAAGTTTTTAAAATTTTAATAACTTTCTTATACTATTTTGGATTTGTACCAAACTTGGACAGAAGCTTGTTTATGATCAAATGCTAGTATCTAGAAGGAAATTTTGTTTTCTCCCAGTTATGATTACATTCAGTCTGCAGTTAAAGTTTTTAAACATTTATTAGATTCTTAAACTATCCTGGATTTTTACCAAACTTGGACAGAAGCTTCTTACAATCAAAATATAGTATCAAGAGGAATATTTTTATTGATTTACTTCCTCATTTTTGTTGAGCCTGCGATTAACAGAAAAAGTAGGCGAGACACTGGGTTCCGCGGAACCCTTACAAATTTTTTTTCTATACCCCTGAACTACCTAATAACGTGTGGACTGAAGATTTCAGCCCTATGGCTTATTTGTTGATCTTGTCTTGCTGAACATTTGAGCTATTAAGTTTCTATTTGTTTATTACATTTTTTAAGATAATAGGCAAAAATGGGAAAAATCATCATTAAAGGGCAATAACTTTATTTAAAGGAGTTGACTTACGATTTTGGTTAAACTGACTTATTTGTATATCTTGTCTAGCTGATCATTTTTGCTTTTTCAAGATTCTATGTATCTATTATATAGTTTTTAAGATATTAGGCAAAATTGCAAAAAATTGGTAAAAATTGTTATTACAGGGCATTAACTCCTGACGATTTTGGTCTTGTTGACTTATTTATAGATCTTGTCTTACTGATCATTTTAGCTCTTTAAGGTTTCTGTCAATATATTATAATTTTCAAGATAATAGGCAAACTTTTTTAAATAAATGGTAAAATTCCTCATTTAAGGGCAGTAACTCCTGTAAGAAGTCATCTGACAGTTTTGACATAAATGGACATTCAGTAGAGAGCTCAACATTCTAAACATTTTTGACTCTGTCAGATTTTCTATTTATAGCTGTTTCCAAAATAATAGACAAAACTTGCATTTTACCCCTATGTTCTCTTTTTAGCCATGTCGACAATCACGGTTGGCAGACAGAATCATCTGATACATTTTTAAAACTAGATACCCCAATGAAGATTGTGGCCAAATTTGGTTAAATTTGACCCAGTAGTTTCAGACAGGAGAAGATTTTTGTAAAAGTTAACAGACCACGAAGGACACCAAGTGATGAGAAAAGCTCACTTGGCCAAGTGGGCCAGGTACGCTAAAAAGGGAAAAGTTTCAAACATGTCAAATAGATAGTGAAATCTCATCCGGTCATGTATATCTTAAAGAGGAAAATTCAATGATAAAGGGTTATTGTTTTTGTTATGAAAGTCTGTTATTTACTGTGTAAACACATAAGAATGTGTCCATGGGAAACAGATCATGCCCCCGCTTGCATATAACGCTGTAAAGGGGCATAACTCAAAAACAGTAAAAGTGACACCACCCAAATTCAAATTTGATCTGTGTTTTCAGGGGCATAGCGAGGTATCCAATATACTGTAGGCACAAATTGCGGCAGGGGGTCTGGGGGCTGCTCAAGGTCCAGAGCCAAGGGGTTTAGGTGGGGGAAGCCCCCTGACGGAAAACGGTTTTCGTTTAAGGGGGGGGGGGATGGTGAAGCCCCCGACGGAAAACGGTTTTCAGCATTTTTGTTGCAAAATTTTGTGTACAAAAAAACATAAAATTTACTGGTAATTTTATCATAATATACATGAAGAAAAGTTCAAAGAATTATAAAGAATTTTACAATAACATCTGACTGATGAATTTACGCAGTACAATCGGAAATCTAAAAAAATAATAGTTACAATATGCACTGCCCAGCGTAGATCAGCGTAGCCCTTTAACTAAGAAGTACATCCTATTTAGTATTTTCATATCTATTCCTTTCTGATTGAGGATAATTGATATATATACGTCAATTGATAGTACATTTTGATGATCTTTCATTGAAAAAATAGGCACCTAAACACTGAGACTACTATATAATAATACTATCCTTTGAGCTATATATAGGCATCGTCCATTCATCTTTTGATTCTTAAACCTTCACTCTCCTTGGCCACACAAACACATACACACACACAGTCGATGACTAATGCAGCCAGAAGTTCGGTTCTGTTCATACTATCTAACAAAATTCAAGAAATTCATATTTTCTGATATCCTGTACTGTAAAATTCCTACCTAAGGAATTTGAATAATTATGGTCATTACACGTTGATCTGAGAGTACAGTACGAAGTTACTGAAAGCTAGCTGATTGATTAATTGATTGCTAAACGTCCATTGGCAAATAGTTCATGCATGTTCAGGACAAAAACAAATTTACAATTAATACAACAGGTAGGTCCTGTAATAGGGGTCGTCCAGGAAGAAGATCTGGAAATTTGGAAATGCAATTGGAAAATGAGGGTTTATTGCATAGGAACAGAATTTTTTCCTTTCAGCAGACCACCTACAGACCCCTCAATGAGTTGTTTCAAGTGTTCTTAACGTGTAGAGAGTGTGGCATTCTCTCTACACTAGGCATCGGATTTAACGTCCTCATTCTGTCCAGACGTGACTGTGTATTTATACATCCTGCACATTTGTGGTAATAAGCATTGTGTATAAGTTTCATAACATTTGGTTGAGGCAACGTAAAGTTAGAGAATGGAAACCAATTTTGGGATGTACAGACGGACAAGGGTAACACTTAATACCCCCTTCGGTGACGGTGGGGGCATAAAAACATACACCATAAAACCATACTTTAATTTTTGTACATTCATTCTCTTTTATGACCCTCTTTACTATTCCAATATTCTAAATACCAGATTCAGATGTAAACTGATCTGATTTGATAATACTTAAAATAATAAATTTACCTGCAGAATACTTGTTTTCAAACCAATCAAATTCCCCCACAGAATAATTTGCCACTTCTTTTATATTGTTTTGATCCAGGTTGTGTTGTGCAAGTTCTTTAATGTCCTTCCCTATTTCTGGAATTATAAATTGAAATTATTAAAACTGTAATAGTATTGTAAATGTACTGCAATGCATGTGTGTTTTAGATGTTAAAAAAAAATTAATCAAATAAAATTATCTCCAAAAAATCTCATATTTTATAATGTAAGTAATCAATTGACCCCAAGAAAACAACCTACACTATTTACATAAAGATATATCTTTTGAATTGTAAAAACAGCAGGTAAAAAAATCAAAATAAGGAGATGTGGTGTGGTGAACCAGTACTGGTGGCAGGGCCAAAAAATCTCCATGGAAATGAGAGGATCCAATGATAATACAATTGCATACATTATATGATTGAACTTACATAGAGGTGAGGGTTCTGCTCTACTTGTGACTTTGAGATGAAGAACAACAAAAAAAGTTGTGTTCCTCTTCCTATGGTTTTGACATGTGCATGTAATTATTTTTGGTCATGAATTTATACACCATATCCTTTCTTTTCTATCTTACCAATAGTGATTCTCCTTAAAATGACAAAATCACAAACTTGAACAAATTGTTAATGTTGCTGGCATTGAAAACAACATGTTCAAGTCTTACTTCTCTGACAGGAGAGACAAATATTCTATGTTTTTGTTCCATAGACCCCTTATAGCTTAGAAAATCATAAGAGCAAACCTGTTGGAGTAATGAAAGATGAACCTGTTGGAGTAATGAAAGATGGAATTATGTAAAATTTTGTAACAACAACAAATCATACCTGAAATGCACTAAAATTTAGGGAAATGATTTCAACTAGGTAGATTCTATATTGATATTGTTTAAATCTAAATTATGTAAACCCCACTATATATATTCATGTGACTGTCTAAGTCAGGAACCTTGCCAGTGATTGTTTCATGTCATAATCTTGTTTTTTTTATTATTTGGGGAATTTTGTTATGCTAACAGGTCTTCAATTGTTTCTGTTTGATTTATTCACAATTTATTTAGACTTGGGAAGATTTGGAGCTTGACATATCGTTTAGAGAACTGTCTATTGTTGAAGACTGTGTATGGCCCTTTAGATATCTTGGTTATTTTTATCATTGGGTTGTTTTGTCTCATTGGTATATACCCCACATCTCCTTTTATTGACATATCAATCAGAAGTTTTGACATGTTTCAACAAGGGATTTGATAGAGAAATACAAAGAATTATATTTGCATCAAAATATAATCAAGATCAATATCCTTTAAATTCAACTAGCAAGATTGGGTGATAATTCCCAAAAAACAAATACCAATGAAGATTTTTTTCCTTTATAATATATTTCACCTGTTGATATGATATGATCTGCATACATAGCAGCTACAACACTAGTTAATCCAACACCAGCTCCTAGATCTAATATTCTCTTTCCTTGGAACTCTTCTTTGTGGGAAATAATAAAATCTGCCATCAACAAGCTGGCTAACCATATCTGTTAGAATAAAATAAAATGCTATCAAAATGCTAGATTACCATTTCTTTAAAAATAAATAATAGATTGATTTACAGCTTGCTTATGTAATCAGTGGTTGATAATTGTTGAATGCCATAATATAACCTTGCTAAACATTGTAGATATTTTACATTACTAGAATAAGTTATCTTAGTTAAGGGGAGATAATTAAAAAAACAGTCTTTATGTTAAAGGCAAATCTCTGATTGTTTAATTAATTAATTATTTTTCTAGACTTTTTGAAGTTTATAGCAAATGATTCAGTGTAAAAATACCTTTCTGTTGTTGAAAACTGTAAGTTAACCTAAGTCTTTTAGTTATTGGTGTGTTGGGTTGCTGTCTAATTGACTAGCAATCTCATATTGTTATTAGTTTATATACATTCATATTTTTACCTGTTGCCCAACATTCTCCAAAGTTGTTTCCATTTTATGTGCTGAAAGTAAAAGATACTAGCATAGTCAATAATGTACAAATAAATGAGGAATGTGTCCATGGGACACAGATGATGCCCCCGCTTGCATAACATATTAAGTTATAAAGGGACATAACTGAAGAACAGTAACAGTGACGTCATCAAAATTTGTACTTGATCTGAGTTTTGTAGTAATAAGTATTGTGTATAAGTTTCATAAAATTTGGTTGAGGCAAACTTAAGTTAGTGAACGGAAACGAAAAATTCAGCAATTTTCCGTTTGTAAAGGGGCATAACTCTAGAACGGTTAAATGACACCACCAAAATTCAAACTTGATCTTTATTTTGTGGTAATAAGCATTGTGTATAAGTTTCATTACATTTGGTTGAGGCAAACTAAAGTTAGAGAATGGAAACAAAAAATTCAGCAATTTTTCCATTTGTAAAGGGGCATAACTCTAGAACGGTTAAAGTGACACCACCAAAATTCAAACTTGATCTGTATTTTGTGGTAATAAGCATTGTGTATAAGTTTCATAACATTTGGTTGAGGAAAACTAAAGTTAGAGAACAGAAACCAACTATGGGACGGACGGACGGACATACGGACACACAGACCGAAAAACATAATGCCCCTGTACTATCGTAAGTAAAGGGTATAAAAATGGTAAAGAAACAGCTCCATCTATCGACATCAAATGTTTTGTTCTCAATGGACTTGTCAATATCAGATCTGACTATTCTCTCAGTCTCTGTTAAATTGTTTATTATAACTTGTCTTGGCTCCCAGCTTGCATAGATATCTGTGTATTGCAGAAAACTGTACATTGACCTCTAGATATATTTGTTGCTTGGTTGCTGTCTCACTGAAATCATACCCTACATCGTCTTTCATTTAGAATTAGCATAGGTTAGGCAACAAGTCTAAATGGTTTTAAAAAAGAATGAACATATCATGTCATTTAAATGTTACTGGTATTATCTATTTATAGATGTCCTTTAAATATTTACTGATTACATGGATCATGTACAAACATGTCCCAATTTACTTCCTTGTAACCGACATTTTAGAAAAAGAAGAGAGAGAAACCTACATACAGATGATGTGACAAATTCCTAAATTAAGAGGTATATATCATTGTAAAAAACACTTTATCATTCTATTTTGACAAAGTTAAAGACCATGTAGTAACAAGGCTTGTATTTTGTGTCATGTTTTTTTTTTCACTTTTTGTTTACTTTTGAAAATAAATTCAAAAAATAAATGGGCAAAATCAACAAACATTAGACCAAAAAGTTGAACTTTGAGCAATAGCTTACAAATGAAACCTCTGCTACAAGTATTCGTTCAGGGAGTTGAAAAGCAATGGATGTGGAGACATCACACAGTATAGCATGCCCACACAAAGCTTGATTTAAAATTTCAGAAAGCTTTGATTTATAGCTGTTCTTCATAACAATGTGACCAAAATTTCAGAAAACCCCATTATGTGTATGAATATATAAATATTATGTAACAGGAAGTGGATGAGCAATTACGAAAAGAAGAGAAGAGCATGGACATTCCTACCGTATATGCCTATATAGGTCAGAAAGGGGCTGATATCCACCCGTTATTAAATATAGAGCTATTTATATAATTTGTATACAAGGTTTTTATCCAATTTATGAAGTGTTTATAAAAACCAAAATATTCTAAAGTATGATACATAAATTATAAATTCCATTCTAATGTGTCGAAAGCTTTCGAAAAATCGATAATAAAATTGCCCCTTCTATATTAAGGGTGCCACATGTGGAGCAGCATCTGCTTACCCTTCCGGAGCATCTGAGATCACCCCCAGGTTTTGGTGGGGTTCATGTTGCTTAGTCTTTAGTTTTCTATGTTGTGTTTTGTGTAGCTATTGTTTTTCTGTTTGTCTTTTTTCTTTTTTAGCCATCAGGCGTTGTCAGTTTATTTTCGACTTATGAGTTTGAATGTCTCCGGTATCTTTCGCCCCTTTTTTTTAAAAACTTATCTGATGTATCCTGTTTGATCGGCATTAATGATTAGATTTAGATTTTTTTTTTATTCTTAATGCTAAAGTGTATGAAAGTATTTTATAATCACTATTTCATAATGATAATGGTTGGTAATTTGCAAGTTCCAATGGAATGTTTTCTTATGAAAAAGATTCTGTAAAACTTGGAAAATGGCAGTTGTTTATTTTCAAAGCTAAGGTTAAAAAATTTAACACTTATCCCATCCATTCCTGGACTTTGGTTAGGTTTTAAATTATTTACAGCAATAGTTAATTCTCTAAAGTGACATATCCATCACAAGATTTACTTTCATCTTCTGATAATCTATGATTAAGTTTTGTTTCAGTAAATAATTTTGCAACATTCATTATATAAGGTTTTTGTTTTGTGTCAAATAAATTAGCATAAAAATCTCATTCAAGTTTTAATATTTCATTTTGATCTGTTGCTAGTTCATCGTTATTATTTTTCAATTGTAGTAATGGATTTTATCGTTCTTTCGATTTTTCAAGACCTAGAAAATATGCATTGTTTTTTTTCCCTTTTCTTACCCACTATTTGATCTTATTTGTGCTCCTTTAGCTTTGTATTCATATTGGCTCTTTAGATCTTTTTCTAATGCAGATATTTTTCTAAAGTTATTTTTTTTTGTTTGATTTTTCATATTATGTTTTCAGTTGTGATTCTAAATCATGTGTTGCATTTTTCTATTTTTTTTACTTAATACTATATTCCTTTATTTCTAATTTGAGAGAGTCCCACAAAATTCTTGAATCTATTTCATTTTTTCTATCTTTTTACTATGTTTTTGTATTATTTTGCTTTTATTGCATTCATACTCTCGCTCATCAAGAATACAGTTATTAATTTTCCAGTATCCTGGGCCTCTAGTTTCAGTTGAGACAGATTGTAATTGTATGCAAACTGCTTGATGGTCTGTGTTTTTAATAAGAATGGGTGAAATGTCACACGACTGAATGTTTAAAACGAAATTTTTTTTTTAGAAAGAACATGTCAATTCGACTAGACTGGACTGGATTTTTTCATCTCCATGTATATTGTATCTTTTGAAGGTTTAAGTGTCTACATATATCTATTAAGTCTTTTGATTTTATTAATTTGTTTAGGCTATTGACTATAATTATCATGATTTTAGAAAAAAAGGCATTTTTTGCTGTCAATGTATCTAATTAAAAAAAAAAAGCTCTGATTAGTTCATAAAAATTAGTACAAATATTCTTCATACATAATCAAGCCAAATGTCATTTTTTAGAAAGTGGTGTTATGCATGCACTCTTTTTCAAGCAAGAGGTTAAACTCAGTTGAAAAAAGCATCTTTTATCAATATATCACAGTTTGACATCCAAAAATATAACATTTCAACATTTAGCAACATCATAACCTCCCCTGTAAATGTATCTTATGCCCTTGAGCATAGCTCTGATTCCTTGTCTGGATTTGGTCATAGGTCATACTTTCCAACCTTTTCCATTTTATTGGGTTTTAACATGTTTAGGTTACGACTGAATTATAGGGAATTTGTGAAGCAAGTTAAATAACATTTTTATTTGTTCATGTTTAGGTCATGGCATCCAATAAACCTATACTATGTGGACCTTGTCACAAAGGAGAAATAAACACTAAAGCTGACATCTGGTGTTTTAACTGTGATGAAGGATTATGCTCAACATGTTTAAGTCATCACAAAAGATCCAAAGGAACCTGTGATCATAAGACCATTGATATCAAAAGTTATAAACCCTCCATCCAAGCCATCAAAACAGAATGTGGCAAACATGGTCAACAACTCAACTTGTACTGTCCCAGTCATTTAATGCCTTGCTGTGATGAATGTATTTCCACAAGTCATTCAAAATGTACCGGCATTAAAAGTCTAGTAAGTGTCGTAGAGAAAACCAAAATTGAAAAATCAAAGGAATCTATAGAGACAGACATAAATTCTATCTTAAATTTATTGGTAACATTAATCAACAACAAATCCAAAAACATTGAAACGGGAGAAAATCAGTGTTTAAGCATAAAGAAATCAATTAAAGGAATTAGACAGGAAATAAATAAACATTTAGATCACCTCGAGAAAAAGTTGTCCCAAGAAATAGATACCATTTGGAATCAGGAAAAATCAAAAGCAACTGATTTCACTTCTGAAATTGAAGGGAAAAAGGAACACTTGAAAGAAATGAAAAGAAATTTACAAACAGTCACATCAAATACAACTAAACTACAATCATTTATTGGTGTACATCAGATTGAACAAAAAGTACATCAATGTCAACGTTATGTTGAAGATCTGGAAAATGATGAGAGGACCAAAGAATTAGACATCAAAATGAAGCAAAATGATGACATAGAAAAGATACTGAACAAGTTAGGAACATTAAAATCCCTAGGAGAAGTCATTGTTATAAAGACAGAAGTAGCCATGAATAGAGAAACAAGTGTAAAGAGGAAAGCACAGGTAGAATCAAAAGAACAATCCAACATAAACAACATGACCATAAATATTGAGACAAAGATAAAGATCAACATAAAGAAGGCGATTAGTGACATGATTTGTCTGATGGATGGAAGAGTTATAGTAGTGGAACGGCTTGGTGAAGTTTACCTACTTACTTCTGATGGCAAACTACAGAAACAGTTACCTATACCTGGTAGAGCCTGGAGAGTTACACAGATCAATCAGGACACTATAGCCATGACTTATCCTATGGAGACAGCCATTAAGATCTTCAATATGGAGAATGAAACAGTAACCAAAGTTATCACATTAAACAAACCATGCTGGGGTTTATCATTCTACAATAATTTTCTTGCTGTAGGTTTGGATAAAGATGAAATCCGTATTATAGACTTGGAAGGACATACACTGAAGTCAATACAAGTTGAGATTAAATCATACCTGTATCAGCTTGTTTACCGTAATGACAGAGTAATCTATAGTGACTGGAGTGGTAAAGCAGTATACTGTGTGGATGAATCAGGTAAACAGACCTGGCAATATACACAGGATTTATCAGGACCAAGAGAACTTTGTACAGATACTTATGGTAACATTATTGTAGCAGACAGAAATTCTCATAGAATAATAGTAATATCAAAAGATGGACAGAATAGTAAAGTACTGATTAGTAAAGAGGATAGACTGGAGAATCCTCAGTGCATTTGTATTAAACATAAGGAGTCTTCAGGTTTCATTTGTGATTACATAGGCAGTTGCTTGACAAAATTCAATTTATCTATGGGATAACATACACACTGAAGAATATTACGATATTACCTGCTTTTGAAAATATGAAAGCAATATACAAATATACAAAATACACACGATACAAGTGTTGAAATTTGGTATGAAGTTTGAATGTCAAAGGAAAGATAGGCAAGTGTACATATGTTAAACTGTAATGTTGTTGTTGGGTTAATAACAAATTAATGTTCACATCACATACCTGTATATTCTTATGTGGTGATATGTGGTTTGAATGTGGGAGGAAATGTGGGCAAGTGTATAGATGTTTGTTGTCTGTTTTTATTGTGTTGTTGGGTTACTGTCTAATCAATGTTCACATCACATATCCTTATATTCCTATATTTTTATTTCAATTTATATTAAGTGGTGATATTTGGTGTGATGTTTGAATGTGAGAGGTAATGCAAGTGTAAAGATGTATATTTTTATTGTTGTTGGGTTACTGTCTATTCAATCAATGTTCACATCACATATCCTTATGTTCTTAAGTGATATGATATTTGTTGTGAAGTTCCAATGTAAGATGAAATGTAGGCAAATTTATAGATATATGTTTTTATGGTTACTTTCTAATCAATATCCACATCACCTATCCTTATATTGCTAAGTTGTGATGTTTGGTGTGTAGTTTAAATGCAAAAGAAAATGTAGACAAGTGTGTAGATGTATAATTAGTTTTATTTTGTCTTAGGGAGCTACCATTTGATTTTTATGGGGGGGCTAGGATGAAAATTTTGTCCTGCATTTTTTTTTAGTTGTAATCTCTGTCCTGCCTTTTTCTTTTTCACTCTATTCGGTCCTGCCTTTCTTTTTTTTTTAATAGTTTATACTGAATTTTTTTACATAAATTGTCATCCTGCCTTTTTGTTTTGCCAAGTTGCTCATCCTGAATTTTTTTTTACTCAAAACTCCTGTCCTGCCTTTTTTTCAAATTTCATCCTATTTGATAATTAATGTCATTGGAAGTATGGTCATAAATATAAGTTATGCCTACTTGTTTTGCAGTAAAAGTAGTTTCCAATTAAAGGTAAAAAGATAAGACTTAGTTTTAACTGTGATACTATAAGAATGAGTATTCCATGATAATGAAATATATAAATATTCTGGAGCAGGAGGACGTACAATTTAAGTTGATGTTCGAAGTAAACAAGAGGCTCACCTGTAATTTTTTGCTTAAATCTTTCTTCAATGATTATTTTTGCTTTTCAATATATATACTGTTTACAGTTTATCTTTATCTATGATAATATTCAAGATAATAACCGAAAACTGCAAAATTTCCTTAAAATCATCAATTCAGGGGCAATAACTTAAAAATCAGGTACCCAATTTGGTTGATAATTTCAGGGCAGGTAGACCTTGACCTAATGAGTACTTTAACTTCTTGTCTGATTTGCTCTAAATGCTTTAACTTTTGAGAGATAAGTCAAAAACTGCATTTTACCCTATGTTCTATTTTTAGCCATGGCGGCCATGTTTTCCGAGGAAACAGAAAATAAAACAAAAACTTCATTCTAGATAACCTCAGAATCATTCATCCTAAGTTTGGTTTAATTTGCTTCAGGTAGTTTCAGATGAGAAGATTTTTTAAAGTTAGAAAACATGATACACAAATTATAAAATTGTCCTTAAAGGGCAATAACTCCTTCAGGGGTCAACTGACAATTTTGGTCATGTTTAACTTTTTTGTAGATCTTACTTCACTGAACATTTTTGCTGTTTACAGTTTATCTTTATCTACAATAATATTCAAGATAATAACCAAAAACTGCAAAATTTCCTTAAAATTACCAATTTAGTAGCAGCAACCCAAAAATTGGTTATTCTGTTCGTCTGAAAATTTCAGGGCTGATTAATCTTAACCTATTAAACATTTTAACCCCATATTAGATTTGTTCTAAATGCTTAAGTTTTTGAGATATAAGCCAAAAACTGCATTTGACCCTTATGTTCTATTTTTAGCCATGGCGGCCATATTTATTGATGGATCAAAACTTCGGATACAATTTGTAAACTAAATACCTTAAGGAACATTCAGTTAAAGTTTAGAAGTATTAGGCCAAGTAGTTTAAGATAAGATTTTATAAATGTTAGCAAATATGATGAACAAATTTTGTAAAATTGTCTTTAAAGGGCAATAACTCCTTAAGGGGTCAATTGACAATTTTGGTTCTATTAACTTTTTTGTAGATCTTACTTTGCTGAACATTATTGTTGCTTACAGTTTATCTCTATCTATAATAATATTCAAAATAATAACAAAAAACTGCAAAATTTCCTTAAAATTACCAATTTGGTGGAAGCATCCCACCAATGGGTTGTTTGATTCGTCTGAAAATTTCAGGGCTTATAGATCTAGACCTAATGAACATTTTTACCATCTCAGATTTGCTCTAAAGGCTTGAGTTTTTGAGATATAAGCCAAAAACTGCATTTGACCCCTATGTTCTATTTTTAGCCATGGCAGCCATGTTTGTTGATGGATCAAAACTTCGGATACATTTTATAAACTAGATACCCTCAGGAACATTCAGTTAAAGTTTGAAGGTATTTGGCCAAGTAGTTTCAGAGGAAAAGATTTTTGAAATAGTTTACGCCAACAGACGACGACGATGACGGACGCCAAGTGATGGCATAAGCTCAAATGGGGCCCTTTGGGCCTAATGAGCTAAACAGCTTATCTACATGCTGTTGTTCTGCATGTAGATAAGCTTTTTCATATTTTTTTTTAGTAATTGCTCTAAATGTTTGAATTATGCCTTAAATTTTGCATGTGTGCTACATTTTTATTTGAGCTTAATTTTTAGTTGTGCTTAAATTTTAGTTGTGCTTCAATTTTTAGTTATGCTTCAGTTTTGGCATGTTTAGATGTGTAGCTTAGAAATGCTTTGCATGTATTTCAATATGCCTGTGCTGTTTCTATGCATTTGAAATAATAATTGCTGCTTATATATCTTATCTGCATGTTCTGTGTTTTAATGTTATGTATATGTTATTTATATTTGGTAAAAAGCTCTCAAGAGCTTATGTTTGTATTGTGAACCTAATCAAAATAAAACACTTTCGTATTCCTATTCATTAAAATTGTCTGAAGTAGTGTTAATTGGTTAATAAACTTGTAAATACTTAACGAGTGTTGTTTTATGAATATAACCAAAGGATATATGAGGTAACATATTATTGATATGTCAGTTCTTGGTCATGTTGCATGGTTTTTTTTTATTGCAGATCATATTTGTTTCTAAAAGTTTTTGTCTATTTATTTTAATTTTCAAAATAAAATGTCAGATGAAACCTGCCAAACATACATGAACATCTTGTAAGCATTCCTTAAACCAAATACAGCTGATATAGTGCTTATAGTATCTGAGAAACAGACTAAACTAGATGTGTAGGAAAAAAATAACTAGAGGCTCCAAGGAGCCTGTGTCGCTCACCTGATATTTTTGTTTACAATTGATGCATGAAATAATGCAACCATTATACTTTTGCTTTAGTTTCAGAGATATATGCAAAAAAACTGCATTTTAACCCAATTTTCTATTTTAAGCCATGTCGTCCATGTTGGTTGGCAGGCGGGGTCATCGGACACATTTTTAAAACTAAATACCCCAATGATGATTGTAGCCAAGTTTGTTTAAATTTGTCTCTGTAGTTTCAAAGCAGATTTTTGTAAAAAGATTACAAAAATTTACGAAAAATTGTTAAAAATTGAATTAAAAGGGCAATAACTCCTTAAGGGGTCAATTGACAATTTTGGTCATGTTGACTTACTTGTAGATCTTACTTTGCTGAACATTATTGCTTTTACAGTTTATCTCTATCTATAATAATATTCAAGATAATAACCAAAAACTGCCAAATTTCTTTAAAATTACCAATTCAGGGGCAGCAACCCAACAACATATTGTCTGATTCATATGAAAATTTCAGGGCAGATAGTTCTCAACCTGATGAACATTTTCCCAAATGTCAGATTTGTTCTAAATGCATTAGTTTCAAAGATATAAGCCAAAAACTGCATTTTACCCCTATGTTCTTTTTTTAGTTGGTTGTGTCATCCGACACATTTTTTAAACTAGTTACCCCAATAATGATTGTGGATAAGTTTGGTTAAATTTGGATTCAGAGGAGAAAATTTTGTAAAAGTTAACGATGAAGGACGACGACGGACGCCAAGTGATGAGAAAAGCTCACTTGGCCTTTCAGGCCAGGTGAGCTAAAAATTAAAATAACAAAAATACCGAACTCTGAGGAAAATTCAAAACGGAAAGTTCGTAACAACAGGTTAACAACACATGTGGACACAAACATGCATGGATAGTATCCAGCTCTCCAGACCAGTACTAGTTTGATGAAAAATTTCTTTGATCAATGAGCAGTTAAATTTCAAGTCCAAACCCCGTAATTTCGTAAAAAATTAGCAGAGGGGAACAAAACTTGAACTTGATCTGTAACTCATCATGGTTAACTCACATACCAAAAATTAGCCCAATATCTGAAGGTGTTTAGAAAAAAATCCTTATAACTGTGATTTTCAACAATTTATCAAAGTCCAAAGCACGTTATTTCGGCAAAAATTAGCAGAGCGGAACAAAACTTAATCTTGATCTGAAATCATCATGGTTAACTCTTATACCAACAAGAATGTGTCCACAGTACATGGATGCCCCACACATACGATCATTTTCTATGTTCGGTCGAGAGTGAAATTGGGGTCAAAAGATCACATCATAGGGAACATGTGTACTAAGTTTCAAGTGGAATGGACTTCAACTTCATCAAAAACTACCTTGACCAAAAACTCTAACCTGAAGTTGGACAGATGGACGGACGTACAGACGGACAAGGGTAAAACTTAATGCCCCCTCCATACAAATAATGATTAAATTTTGTTAAATTTTACATTATCTTTTTGGTAATACAGACTCTGCCCTAATTCTAAGTGACAAGGTTAAATGAGCATGAAAATAGGAATTATATTCCAGATATTTCTGTCACATTAAATGTTTAAAATTCAATGATTTCTTCGTCAGACTGGTTGAATTGCTGTTCAATCTTGTGAAACTAATGTGAAAAATTGTCTAAAATACACAATATGTTAAAAATTTAGTAAAAATACCGACATAACAAAGTTTCTAGTGGAAATTCTGTAAGGCGGAACAAATATTCATTTACACTGTTAGCAATGCAATGTTTAAAATTAATTTCAAAGAAGTAGTGTAATCCTAAAATAAGCATGAATTTTAGCTGGTTATCAGTGGATTTATATCCTACAACAATGAGCAGGACTTCTAAACAGGTTAATAATGCATTTACATCCCACAACAATTAGCAGGACTTCTAAACAGGATAATAGTGCATTTAGATCCTACAACAATGAACAGGACTTCTAAACAGGATAATAATGCATTTACATCCTACAACAGTTAACAGAACTTCTAAACAGGATAATAATGCATTTAGATCCTACAACAATGAACAGGACTTCTAGACAGGATAATAATGCATTTACATCCTACAACAGTTAACAGGACTTCTAAACAGGATAATAATGCATTTATATCCTACAACAATGAACAGGACTTCTAAACAGGATAATAATGCATTTACATCCTACAACAGTTAACAGAACTTCTAAACAGGATAATAGTGCATTTAGATCCTACAACAATGAACAGGACTTCTAAACAGGATAATAGTGCATTTACATCCTACAACAGTTAACAGAACTTCTAAACAGGATAATAATGCATTTAGATCCTACAACAATGAACAGGACTTCTAAACAGGATAATAATGCATTTACATCCTACAACAGTTAACAGGACTTCTAAACAGGATAATAATGCATTTATATCCTACAACAATGAACAGGACTTCTAAACAGGATAATAGTGCATTTACATCCTACAACAGTTAACAGGACTTCTAAACATGTTAATAGTGCATTTACATCCTACAACAGTTAACAGGACTTCTAAACATGTTAATAGTGCATTTATATCCTACAACAATGAGCAGGACTTCTAAACAGGATAATAGTGCATTTACATCCTACAACAGTTAACAGGACTTCTAAACAGGATAATAATGCATTTAGATCCTACAACAGTTAACAGGACTTCTAAACAGGTTAATAGTCGATTTATATCCTACAACAATGAACAGGACTTCTAAACAGGATAATAGTGCATTTACATCCTACAACAATTAGCAGGACTTCTAAACAGGTTAATGGTGCATTTACGCATTTAAAAAAAAGTTTTTTCTTCATTTTATGGTAAATTTTACATTTCTTTTTTATTTTGGTGTGTTGAACTTTAAATTATTTTTTTTTTATATTAAATGCAATAAAAATATTTTACCAATTGTTATAACAGAAAGATCTTCTATTTTTCTCTTTCTTCTTTTTACTTCAACATCTCCATCTTTATCTGTCTTCATTTCACAAACATCTTTATCTGTCTTCATTTCACAAACATCTTTATCTGTCTTCATTTCACAAACATCTTTATCTGTCTTCATTTCACAAACATCTTTATCTGTCTTCATTTCACAAACATCTTTATCTGTCTTCATTTCACAAAAATCTTTATCTTTCTTCACTTCACCAATACCTTTATCATCCTTATATTTTTCTATTCCTCCAATATTTTTATCTCTGTCCATTTCAGGATTACCTTTATCTTCTGTTTTCTCACCACACTCTGTTCCATCTTTAGTTGTAATTTCAATCAGTTTATCTAGACCTTGTCTTATATCAGTCAGTGAATCACTGACAAAATTTGATCTATGTAATTTTCCATCTTCAGATGTTTTTGCACTAACCAGTTTCTTTTTCTTTGTATTTCTATCTTCCGAAAAGTAAAACCTAGAAACTGTAACAACACAAATAAATTTGATAGAGTTAGGTTTAGGTCAAAAATCTAATAATGGTTAAGGTAGATTGACTGTATATCACCATCTTGGATTGTAAGATAGCAGTAAACAAACAGTCTAGTTCTTGTTTGCTTAAATCTGCAAATTTTGAGACAGATTGGTAATGAATGTGTAAGAATGTTTATTTGAATAAAGAATTATTTATTTATTGCATTATTAAAACTGTTTTATCAAATACCAAATATTTGTGTTAACTCTTATAGTAAAAATTTATACAGGAATAATTTAATTTTGGATGTAACACGTCTTCTGATTGGCTGAGAGAATTTGTTTATCAGCTCATAGACATAATTTTGTCATGTGACCGTGACGTCATCAACGTTTTTTTCATGATTTAATCCTTAAAAATGGAATTTAGAATTAAATTATAAGGAATGATTGTAATGTTTTTTCTGTCTATTCGAAATAACATAAAAAATGTGGTGCTCACTGTTAAATAACCCGCTACACATTTTTGATGTTATTTCTTCATAGACAGAAAAAATATTACAGTCATTCCTTAAATGTTAATGAAATTTTTATTTTTGTCTAGTAGCAAGAATAAAAGTTCAGTGACACCATTTTTTCTCTTTATTTTCTTAAAACACTTATAAAACCTATCTTCTTATATTTTATTTTATTTTATTTACAAAATCTATCTCATAGTCTTCTTTTTATTCACAGAAAACTGTTTTTTTTTCATGAATAATCTATAATCTATGCAAAATTGGATAATTTTTCATGACCTGTAGCTTGAAAAATAGCACAGTGTCCAATAATTTTGATTATATTTTTTGAAAAAAAGCAGGATAAAATCTACCTTTGGGCAAAGTATAAAAAAATATCTACTAGTATCTGATGAAATATATATGGATGATACACTTTAATATGTAACCAAAACCACAAGTACAAACGAAACAATAACGTATCAAAGAATGTTTTCTGTTACTTATCTATATTTAAAAGAGAAAGCTCAAAATTCTCTATTTGCTGATATAAAATCATGCTGACCTATATTTGAGGGGGTGGACAGCTTTAGAGGGAGGTGGGAGGGGGGAAGGGGGCGCGAGGTGGGAGATAGGGGGCAGGAGGTGGGAGAAGGGTACCACCCTGTCCACCCCCTCATATTTCATTATTAATACTAATATCAGTCACTGTACTTCATAGAGCATACAGAATCATCATAAACAGTACAGAAATACACAACCTTGTGCAAGGCATTGAACAAACAAGTACAGAATTTGAACTTGAATACAGAAATGCAAAAGTCTACATTAAACCATAACCATTTTAAAAATTCTATGTAAAGCAATCTGTCCCAACAAAAAATACACTTTAAAAACATGTATTGATTTTCAATGAATAATACAAAGTCCCACAGAAATTGAATTATCCCAATCGTGCTACTAGTCCTGAGCTGTTCAGTTTAATTATTAAAGACATAATAGGTACTGTCAAGATAAAGAACAGAAAAAAAAACATTGTTCTTTAGTTATTTCACAGTTTCTTCTGTGATTAATTTTACTGTAAATCTGAATATATCATAGTGGAAAGAAAAAAGATCTGTTACAGAAGTAACTGGAGGGTGGACAGGCATGTACAAATCTCCTCTTCAAAACTTTATTTCCAGATAATAAAAGGTACAAAAACAAATACTCATGCTAACAAACTTTCATCATAATTAAGTTGAAAATGTATTTTAATAACATAAAACAGGAAAGAAATTAATTTGCTTTAAAGGGGAAATATTTTGTCCTTCTCTTTGAAAAATTTATGATGTGAAATGTTTAGACTTATTCCATCTCTTTCCAAAAAGTATGATGTAATAATGCAACACATTTTAAATGTTCTCCACAATATTTCTTGGTTATCACATTTTGCCCATCATAAACAGAGAACCATCCAGATACCAGATACACAAAACAATTCATTGTAGAGGCCTTATCCAATGTAAGACATTGTAATTCATGTCTGATTTTTCCATCTTTGTCTGATTTAAATTTCTCATAATCAAAAGTTGGAATTGGCACATGTAAACAAATCTTCCCTTCCAAACATTTTAATACAGTGTGTGGAACATGGTTTGAAAGAAGAGAATACATTGGGATGAAGAACTGTTGTCCCATCAACTTGTCAATCCATTGACCTCTTGTCACTGTCACTACAGCTGATGTGGCAAAATGGGCATCCAAAATATGTGTAATATCTTCAAATGGCTCATATAATGTATAGAAATCATAATGATCATTTAACTTCATAGCACCCATAAGTTCATGCCAAATCATAAGGAGTGTTCGTGTTAGTTCAAACCATGCAACAATATTATAAGCCTCTGCAATATTCTGTTTCTCATCCTGATTTTGACAAATAAACAATCCAATTTCTTCGTTATCTGGAATAAGAACATCCATAACACTGCATGAGTACTCTGATTTGACAAACAATGAGGCATCTCTTTGAAAGAATTTTGGCATCTTCATTTTTGAATAGCAAATAATCAATTTTTGCAAAATATCCAAAGAGCAGTCGTCAATATTTTTGCCAGTACATGAGAATGATGAATCATAAACATGTTGGAGTAGACAAGTTTTTAATTTATAACTAGAAACGTCTGTTAAATTATCCTCAAATTCTGATTTTGGTGCAACTAAAAGCTTCAAAATAATATAGCAATTTTAATGTAGCTCATCCAGGTCTTTCATGAGTTTATTTTCTGATGTAGCAAAAGTGACATGAAAGCAGGTTGTGCATGAAGCAGTAATACACGGTATTAAGTAACATTTCTTTTCTTTGACCAGTTCTAGATATTTGCTATCAAAATTTCCATTCTTTGCAGAATTTTGAATGTATTCCTCAGGACATACAAATGCTGGCATAGTATCAATACTTATCACATGCTCATCATATGAACCTCCGCCTTTTGGACTCCAAAGAAATGCCAAATGTGACATACCACTTTGTAAACATTTCAATGTTCCTGATGGCTTATCTATGATCCTCTCTTCTTCCGATAGATATGGTGAATTTTCATTGGTTATCTTTTCATATAGAGAATTGAAGACAGCTATCAAGCTTGGATATACACAATCTTTATTGTCAACTTCTAAGAAACTTTCACTTAAAAATTCAGTCCAATAAACATTTTGTGGACGCTTGATTTTCACCAATCCTGGACTACATCCATTTTGAATTTCTACATTTTCCAATTCAATATATAACTTGAAATCAAATTCAAATGGATCCCCTACTTTTGTATCTTCATAAAAACTACCAACAGGAATTAATTTGGATATCGGAATAAGCTCTTCAAAAGTTCCTCCAAAATTAACTCCATAATCGGAAAGGTTGAGAAAGTCCTTGACCTTGATTGTTCTAGCACTAGTGAGAATTCACCATAGAAGTTCTTTGACAGAACATTCAATATCAGAAATAACTTGAGCTGAGAATGACTGTTTTATATTACATTTTTTCTTATAAACATCATTCAAAAACTTTCCAAGAGACATTATGGAACTCAACTGTGCTTTATTGAACAACTACGGGTATACAATTCAGTATTTCACACAAACTGTAGAAACATCCCTATATAAAGTATGATGATTTAAATCTGTGTTATATTTTTAGTAATCCATGTAGTTTAATATTTCACTGTTTACCTAAAATGTTTCAGAAAAAAACTTCCTATAAAAATAGTTGCAATATTCAATATGATTCTTATTAGAATTTCTGATTTGATTTTTCTTATGTGTGTGTTTGTTTGATTATTTTGTAATTTGTTTGTTTGTCATATCCGACTCATATGTCATTGCATTTCATGAGGGCCTCAGGTAAGATTAGTGTTATAGCTAACTGTGTAACCCTCTTTAAATAAAGATTTATTATTATTATTATTATTATTATTATTATGAAGAAAATGAAAAAAAAAATTGGGCTTAATCAAACTTATCAATGTAAATATTCAATGTGGGTCGAAGTTATTAAGACCAGGGATAACACATGTGATGTCTCAGAGGGTAATAAGGTAAAATAATACGGGCTGAACAGAGTGATACAAGTGATACAAGTGCAGGAAAGACAGATAGTACTAGTTAACTAATGTTATTTATGGAATGATAACTTTGTACCATCAGACGAACATCTAAATTTCCTATTCAATACTGTGGCTACTTCGTTACTATTAAAAATGATTACATTGATTCTTAAAATATTCAACTAATAGAACTACTTACTGTTGTGGCCTTTTGACTGGTTACTTTGGACCTGGAGATGTACATCTGATAGTACTAGCTCATCTTTCTGCATTATTAATCTTCACTACATCATTAATCACACCACATCACTAAAATATAAACACATATTAATCTTTTTAATTGTTTTATTTTTTGGGGGCAAAAGTCCATTTTAAAAGTACAACTTAACTTACAAAATATAATTGATGGAAAAACATGATTCATCTTATTATAGTGTTTCATTATGTATCCCTTTACACCAAATACTGCTGTTAAACATGTTAAATGGCACTTGTTTGATAGTTTAATGCTACAGTAGAATAACATTACATACATAGTTATTTATACTTGAACTTTATGTTATTTTTCAGTGGAGAAATTATCAAAGGTCTATAGTGTATACAGTGGTATCAAATTGTTACCCTGCAAAGAGTTAAGGAAGAGGTCAAATTTTAAAATCCTTTCACAAAAGTAGATATAAGAAGATGTGGTATGAGTGCCAATGAGACAACTCTCCATCCAAGTCACAATTTATAAAAGTAAACCATTATAAGTCAAAGTACGGCCTTTTACACAGAGCCTTGGCTCACACCGAACAGCAAGCTATAAACAAATGATAAAGGGCCCCAAAAATGACTAGTGTAAAACCATTCAAACAGGAAAACCAACGGTCTAATCTATATAAAAAAGAGGAACGAGAAACACTTATGAACCACATCAACAAACAACAACCACTGAACATCAGGTTCCTGACTTTATTTTAAAACCATCTGAAGAACAGGTTAATCAGGAATGAAAGTGTGCAGACAAAATCAAATACAAAGTTAAACTGTTCAAATTAACCACGAAAAATAAACAGATAGAACCATTAGAATCTACAGCCATCTTGGATTTCAAATAGCAGAACACAAAAGGTGTACATTTCCAATAAAGTTAGAAAATTTCAGTGCAGGAATGCAATTAACTACTATTTTGTTATCTAAATGGACAACTTTATGTGACTTTATCATTTAAAAAAAAACTGATATTTTACCAAGTTAGAATATTTCTGCTAGATTTTTTTTACTTTGTGTACTAAGGGGAGGTAACTCAAAAATTGTATTATTCTTACTTGTCATAAACATGATAAAGGAATCTACAGGAAATTTTTCTATTTCATGTTAAAAAAGGAAAAAAAGTACAATTAACTTTTGATAAAGCATTTTATCATGTTTATAAGAGCTATTTTTTCATATTTTTATTTCAATACTCTACATTTAGTCTACCCTCTATTCACATAAATGTTTCTTTTGTCACAACCTGTAGCTTGAAAACCGACCTAGTGACCTATCATTTTTATACTCCCATACTACCTTAAATTTCTGCTATAAAAGGTTTTTTTTACAAAATTCCATCAAAGTTAAATGAGAGTCTGAAGGGGGAGGGTCTTCAATTCTGTATTCTTTAATTTTTAGGGCAATTTTTTTCTATACTCTTTATATTTTAGCACCCAATTATTCCATATTCTTTTTTTTTGGGTCTTTTTTTTTCTATTCTTTAATTTCTTTGACCATAGTCATTCTCTATTCTGTATGGGTTTACTGAGTTTGACAATACACTGTGATTCATAACAATACAGGAACAAGTCTGCTATTAAAGGGATGCAATTGTAAAGCAAAATATTGTCCTTTAGATGAAATATTGTACCCCAAGACAATATTTCATGACTTTGTAACATGAAATTGTGTCCCCATCTATGAAATAATGTCCAGAAAAGTACAAATTTATATATGAAATTTTGTCTATATAGACAATATTTCATAGATGGATCGTGTGAAATTTTGACTTGTTAAAGGGAGGTTATCCAAGGTTATATATTGTGTATATCGAGACAATATTTTATAGATGGATTGTCCTGAAATATATGAAATTTTGTCCGACGGACAATATTTCATGGGGAACTTTATTTTATGTTACACAATTGGCACCAATGGGAATACCTACAACCTGTCGTAAAATTTTACTGCTGCAATTTAGATATATGTTTTCAATGAGAAAATTTACAACTTTAATCATCTCATCAATCTTTTAGTAAGAACTTCTTGAGTCACAATTTTTTTAACATGTTTAATATCTTGATCAATAGATTTTCTCGCTATGTTGAAGACTCATTGGTGGACTTGGGCTGTTATTTGTTCTTTGGTCTGGTTGTTGTTGCTTTGACACATTCCCTGTTTCCATTCTCAATTTTATTAATGGGCCATTTTATAAAATAGGAAAATATTTTATTTTACGAGAGTGTTGTATAAAAGAGAGTTGAAAAGTCAAAACTGTCAACTGATTTAAAAGGGCCTTATTATAAGGGCACATAAATTATGTAAAACATTCAAAGAATTGTTTAGTTTAGAAATGATTTATACCAGCTAGGGCAGGCTATTTTAAATTGAGATGATTGAGTTGACAGGTGATATTCAATCTTGATCAATTGATATTGTTATGATAGAAGCTTTGCTATTTTTTATTGATCAAATTGAAAGTTAATTGACCTTATCGCTACATGTATTTGGAAATCTGTGACACTCGACCAGAGATTTGCGACACTTAACTATTGACTTCAGATTTTTCTCCTATTCTGTCAACATTTACCAGGAATGTCTGTGGGCAGTGTGATGTCAAGTAATGGTTGACAAATAGCGATTAAGGTACATATGTTCAAACATGATCATGAATCAACATTGATCAATTAAATCTATCACTACACTTTAGGCTTTGAAAATTTTAATGAGTTGAATGAGTTAATGTCCATTCATGAGGGTAGGAATGCCCTTTACCGTTTGGCGTCAAAAGGTCATTTTTGGCTACTGTAAGGGTCAAATTGATTAAAATTTTATCGTGATTCGTCAAAATATCCTTATTGTAGTTCGTCAGAGGTCTCAAATAATTATCGTTACTGTTATTTTTGGAAAGAATTTAACATGATTCGTCAAAATCAGTAGATTTTTTATCGTCATGAAGAAAATGTACATTTTTATGATTTTATCGTCATGCACCAAAAATTACCGTTAACGTCATTTGGCAAGATTTTTTACCGTTATTCGTCATGAACGTACCCAATTACAACCCTCATATATATAGATTCTACCACTGCATCAAGTGTGATACGATGTTTATCCACTCGAGACAGTTAAATTTTCAAATTTAAAACGCTAGGCCTCGGCGAGCGTTTTAAATATTTAAAATTTAACTGTCGAGAGTGGAAAAATATCGTATTTGTAACACAAGATTTGGTGGTGGAATCTGTTTCTCTAATGATTTTCAACAATATGCAGGCAAACTTATTCCGTCTTTTCGAATGATCTGTAAAAAGATGTGTTCTTTCTATGTGACGTCATCAGGCATGGTCGCCTTTTTTCTTGCCGTCACAATAGGAAATTCAGAGGAAAGCAAGTAAATTTGACGTCATAATCGGATTTTAACCAATGAAGAACTGAGATCAAACGAACCACACGTTGATTAAATTTTTTTTAAACAATGGGTGCAGAAAGGGATAAATTGACGAAGAATTTGAGAAATATATATACTACACACGTGTGTTAAAATCAACTGTTGTTGACAATGTTGTATCATTCTATTGTCGAATACTGTAAGTTGTAACTTAATTGAGGGGGAAACGGCACGTAATAGTCAAAGTTGTGACTGAGTGCGGAAATATGAAGATAGATAGATAGGAAAAATTGAAAGGGATCTTAAATAACATGGTTCAATTTTTTTTGTGTTTAGGGTTTTTGCCAGATGAACATGCATACAAATGTAGTTTATAAGACAAGTTATTATAAGTATTTGTTTACAGTGTTTGTTTCCGCTTGACAATCACGTTCCTATCCGGATCGTTTCTAGAATTAATATTCTTCATCTGAATCATTTTGCGCTTAAAACAACAACGAAAGCCACTATTATAAGCGCTTGTGTGATGCAGAATTTACACGTTTCCTCGAAGCAGACAACAAGAAAACTTCGCCAATAATTTCGGTAATTTACTCTGACAATTTATCTGGTTGAAACAATTTTAGACAATTTTCTAATGACAATTTAAAAAAGCATGAGCAAAACATTTCACATCTCTGATAATGTGTAGAAAAGCAACATTCTTGTCGATGACCAGGAAAGACATTGGGCTTCTTAAAAAGAAATTTAAAAACATCATGTCAGAACATCAAAACTCAGGCATATCTGGCACTAGTCCGACCAAAACTGGAATATTCATGTTCAGTATGGGACCCCCACACAGTTGATCAAACCTCTAAAATTGAGATGGTTCAAAGGCGAGCTGCCAGATATGTCTGTAACAGGTACCATAACATCAGCATGTCAGTACTAAATCTGACAGACATGATAAACACATTAAACTGGCCCACACTACAAGAAAGAAGACTACGCACAAGATTAATAATGTTCTACAAAATAGTACATCAAATCGTAGCAATCCCATCTGTGACTGTTATCAAGAAATCAAAATGTATGCTTGTTGGATCAGACAGAAAACTGGAAAGCTGCAATGAATGTTTATGTGTTTTATCACAAGATAATATCACTTTAGATAATGTTGAAGTTGAAAAACTTCTTGGAATTCATATTGATAAAAATCTATCATCATGATCATGGTCAAATCAAATTGATAAAATATGTGAAACTATTTCAACCAGAATATACCTGTTAAAAAGGTTGAAACGTTATTTCCCATTAAAGGGTCTTATTCTTTTTGTACGACCGCAAAATTTTTTTTTATGGTCGTATATTGGTATGACATTGGCGTCGTCGTTGTCGTTCGAAGACACATTGGTTTTCGCACAATAACTTTAGTTTAAGTGAATGGATCTCTTTGAAATTTTACCATAAGGATCAATACCACAAAAGGAAGCTTGGGATTTATTTTGAGGGTTATGGTACAGTTAAGGTTAAGGAATTAGGGGCCAAAAATAAGCATTTTTGTAACTTCCAGACAATAACTTGTGTGTCAGTGTATGGATCTCTCTGACATTGTTCCACAAGGTTCCATATCTCAAAGGGAATGCTGGGATTGATTTTGGGGGTAATTGCCTCAAAATTTTAGGAATTAGGGGCCAAAAAGGGGCAAAAAACAAGCATTTTTCTAGTTTCAGGACAATAACTTGTGTGTAAGTGTATGGATCTTTGTGAAATTGTACTACAAGGTTCCATATCACATAGGGAAAGCTGGGTTTGAGTTTGGGGGTAATTGCCCTAAACGTTTAGGACATGTTAGGAATTTGGGGCCAAAAAACAAGCATTTTTCTAGTTTTTAGACAAAAACTTGTGTTCAAGTGTATGGATCTCTCTGAAATTGTACTGCAAGGTTCCATACCACAAAAGGAAGGCTGGGATTGAGTTTGGGGTGAAGAATCATAAGGGGGTTCAAAAAATTTGGGGGGGATTTTTTTTCCTTTTTTTTTTTTTCCTTTTTTTCCTTTTTTTTTTCTTTAAAATTTTCCATTTTACATTTATTAAGTTGGTTATTTCTGATTTATATATAAAAGCAAATAATTATGAAATGGTTTGAATATGTAAATTAAAATTTTTTAAGTTCTTAGACCACATTCATTCTGTGTCAGAAACCTATGCTGTGTCAAATATTTAATCACAATCCAAATTCAGAGCTGTATCAAGCTTGAATGTTGTGTCCATACTTGCCCCAACTGTTCAGGGTTTGATGCGAAGCATTTTATTTACAATAGCTTTATATTACCCATTATTGACTACCATGACTACTGTTGTACAGTATGGGGTCTTACCACAAACTGTAATCTGGAGAGGATACATAAGCTCCAAAATCATGCTGCAAGATTAGTTTTATCTGTTTCTTTTGATTTTCCATCAACATTAATGTTTAAAAAGCTTGCATGGATGACTATATTTACGAGGATACAATATTTTCAAGCAGTGTTAATGTTTAAATGTATGAATGGTCTAGCAACTGATTATCTATCTATTAAATTTACTGCTTGTACTGATCTTTATAATTATTGTCTCAGGTCGACAACATCAAGACTTCTTCATGTACCAAGACCTAATTCTGAATTTTTAAAAGGAACATTTAAATATTCTGGTCTTATTACAATGTATTACCTGGAATAATTTACCAAATAATATTAAAGAAATAAATAATTTAGATACATTTAAGATCAAATGTTCAAACTATTTTCTAACTGTACAGAATGAAGATGCCCGATCCTAATGTATTTTTTCTTCTTTTATTGAATGCATATGTACTTATTCAATATTTAAGCTGCTATATATAACTGTATTGTGTATTTTATTTTGTTTGTATTTTTATCTTTTCTATTTGTATTAATAGTTTTTGAAGGCCTCATGGAAGATTAACATGCCATTGTTAAATGTGTTACCTTCGTTAAATAAAGAATTTTATTATTATTATTATTATTATTCTCATACCATCAGACAGTAGAACCCGCAAAAATCATAATTTTACTTTCAGACACATTTCAACCAAAAAAGATGCATATAAATTTTCATTTCTTCCATATACCATAACCCAGTGGAATTTATTGCCAATCCTTACAGTCGCTGTCACTACAGTCGACAATTTCAGAGAACATATCACACCAGCTGCGCAAAACAGTAAATAATCTTCAGATCAATGAAGGACTACTGAAAAACAAAAGAAGAAGAAGAAGACATACAGACGTCTACTACTTTTGTGATTCTGTGTTCGAAGCAATATTGACTGATTTGACAGCCTGTGTCCAGAGTGGTTTTCTGATTTGGTAGCTGACTGGGTGGCCAAATTAAAAACTGCTAACTTCAATTATACATCTGGACAAAATTTGAATGATGAAATTATGGGAGTTTTGAGTCAAGCACATCAAAAGTTTGAAATTTTTCACCCAAATGAAAGTTCGGAGTGAAAATAACTTTTTCTATTAATCAAAGCATAAGTGACAGTATGTAATAAGGGTAATAGAGCAGTCAATTAAGACTAAAGAACTCTTTTCTTCTAAACATTGAACCATTAAATTTTATACTTTGAATTTGGCACTACTAAACTATAGTTTTATCTTGAAGAACATTAGAACAATTGATACTTAAAAACAATTTAAACATCATTATCATTTGTCAAAATGTAATAATTATCATAATAAATATAAATCAATTGTTTGAAAAACAATTGTTAAACGGTCTTTCCCCTCTGAAACATGATTAATTGATTTTTTTTTATTGATTGATTGATTGGTTGGTTTGTTGGTTGACTGATATACTAATTAAACACATGGGATAGGGTCCATTGGAACAAGCGAAAAAGAAACAAAAGTGATCTTGGAACCCGTATTGAATAGATTGATTGATTTGTTGGTTGGTTGGTTGATCGATTGATTGATTGATTGATTGAAAGTTTGCATGGCACTCTCTCTATGCGAGGCATGGGACTTAACATCCATATTCTGATCGACAAGGTGGCTGCGTACTTTGTATATCCCGCACTCCAAAAAAAGACAGCCTCAGGATTTCCTAATGAATAAAAATCCTTACATCTTCTTTTCTAAAAATTTTCTCTATTTTGTAAGGGAACTTGTACTTCGTGGTTTCTTTTATGTGTTGTGTGTGCATTTTGTTTGAATTTGTAGGAAAAAACTGAGAAACATTTTGTCTTGGAAGTTTCACTTTCTATATTTGGTTAGGTCCGTGCGCGCGAGGGTGTTTTGAAGTCTCGTGACACTCATATATATATGTCTGGAGTTAGAATATTAATATCTTTTCAATGGAGACCGTTGAACAGAGCACATGTGTATTGATCGGACAAAGACGATCACTTTTGGTTTTATTATTTACAGGTCATTGATGTCGGACCATGCATGCATTTTACGTACACATGTTTACGGGAGCACAGATTTGTATTTAAATGCATGTTTAGAAATTTGATTGTAGGATTTCAGTAATATTTACGAACTTGGGAGCGATTTCTACGTCATTGAATTTTATTTCTCAATCAAGCAGACCGCGCCTTAAGGGAACATTTTTTCTTGATTCATTTTACATTTTACAGTTAAACTGTTGTCGTTCAATACATGCACACAAAAATAATGCTGTTATTATTGTATTTTAACAAAACGTTTATCGATTAATTTCAGAAAATACATGAATTAGAGCAGTTTTTTGCAGGGATGGATTTTTATTTTAGAAATAAGTTTGTACATAAGAAGGATTAGCATTTTACAGTAAAATGATTGATTGATTGTTGGTTGTACAGTAAAATGTACAGGACTAACAGCGATTTTTTTTTTCTCATAGAAATGGGATAACTATAAAAAAAAAAAAACAGTTGAAAAAAGGAGGGGGGGGGGTGAGTATTGGTAGACTGTGGTTGATAATTGAGATAAGTCACATTTACATCACGATAGCTCTAAAGTTTGAAATTTGTATAAGTAATTTGTTGATTTGACCATAACAGGGGCATAGACCCTTCAATTAAATGACGCGTACCATTTTGACAAAAATTTCCAGTAAGGACATGTCGCGACAAACATTTTGGTTAAATTGTTTTATTGATATCTATAACCCTTTCTGGGAAGTAGCGATATGAACTGAATGTAAAAATCACAACATGACCTTGAGCTTTGACCTTGGCCTAATTTTCTTTATTTTGGACCAAGGACCTCAAATCAACAGACCCTAGGTCTCTATCACTTATGGTTTACCAGTTGCAAATGCATAAGGGGAAAAAACTCTCATATGGAGTTTCCAGATGGCTTCGGTCAAAATAATTCTTCAGATCCTGAGGATATAACGAGCAAATTGGTGAAATAATTTTGTCATAATCTTTTACGGTTGCGAAGGAGATGGGCACATATGAAAAACAGTGTTTAGGGAGATAACTCTTACAATAAAAAGTGTTCGGTTAAACAGGGTCAGTTTCAAAGTCGCAATAACTGTTCGATATCATATGCAAAAAATCTAAGCGACATCTTACGAAACCACCAAACACCGGCGGAAGAAGA